TAAATATAAAGGCATTTACTCACCAGCTGTCGCACCGGCACTGCCGCCTGGCCAAATCCGCCAACTGTTCCATCGGCGCCAACTCCTAGGTGATTTCTGGCACCGATTAATCTCCTCCATTCGTTCACTCACACGATTCGGATACAAATATCCGGAGAAAGAAACGCGTGATTAATTACGATCGCGCACAACGTTTCTGTCATATAATGCAAAAGTCTGATATGCCGAGAAGACTCGTCACTTTTACTGTCTTTTACGATGCAACGATGTTTTACTCAACGTTTTATACGTTTTAGATGCTCCACCTTATCGTGATCACGTATATGTTTTATTTCTAACGAGAGAGTAATATATAATGAATACGATTTTATAGATGTTGGAATCATTGACGGTGAAACATAAGTATCTATACATGTGAACGAGAATATATTCGAATACACATCCCTGGTGGAAAAATATTGCTGAAATTATTCCACGTTTTGAAACTTTTCAACAAAATTTCAGCATTTCAAAAAAATTTCAGCAAAATTTTCAGACAAATTTCAGTAAGAATTTTGTAGAAATTTCGGTTGGATTTCAGTGATTTTTCAGTATGTTAGCTGAAAAATTCACTTTCAGTGAAATTTCAGCAAATTTTCAGCAATTTCGCTGAAATGTTCCAAAACGTAGAATAATTTCAGCGAAACTTTTTCACCAGGGATTATATATGTATATGTATAATATATCTAATTTTAAAATAATTAGATAAGCGAATTACTGATGTAGTTTAACGAAATAATGCATTTTTATATGGTTTCTTTCGGAATGCAGGATTCTTGAAAATTTAAGAAAATTTATAATACTCGCACATACAGAAATAAGTTTCAAAATGTAACTGAAGTAAGTTATATAGAAAGTAAAAATACTCGTCTTTTTATAGATGAAGCAGCCAAGTTTAATTGAATCCAGTCTAAAACTCACTCAACGTGCGGAGCGTGTACGATTAGAGGTTTAAACGAAGCGCGTTTATTTGCTTTCTGTAATACCAATAGCAATACTCGATTCGCTGTACGACAACACAGATATCGTGCACGCGGGACGAATAAATAATGCTAGATGTGCGAGAGACATTCGACACAAGCCTATATACGTAAAATATGTAAATGTACGAACACACGTATGCACAATATTCGCGATATTTGATATTGAATCATAAATACGTATACTAATTACTACAAACAATCGCTTCACCCGACGTCGCGACGCGCACCTCGTCATAATCGTCGACGATTATTATTAGCGCGTCATGACGCGCATCATCCATTTCTGAAGAATAAAAAACACAAATTCGCTTAAACTCCGAAGTTTGAACTATAAAATGGCGGACTCTCTTCCTCGCGCGCGCTTTGCGCGACTTGCGCGTCGTACTTGACGCAGTCGAGTCAATCGTGTACATCGAAAATCAAATAGCCAAAAGCCAACGACATTTAATCACACATGATTACTCGCACATGGTAAACGTTGTACTATTAATTGTCATTGCGTGATAACAATATTCATAATTATATATTTTCTACAGCATATGCATATATAAGTATCGTTAATCTCGCGACAATTATTTTATCGCTCAACGATTATTCTATAATGCGTAAAGCCACGAAATCCTGTACCTCGTGTTATACTATATCTAGTCTTTTCAAAGCGTAATTGAAACAACCGTGAAAATTGCCTTGCACTTGATACGATCGACAATGATTGATCGCGGAGACGATAAATTTGATCGTCCGCCGCATTACTCGACACTTTCGCGACTAATTCAACACACACATGTCACTGTTGACGGATAAAAATTGCACGGAACGCGGAGCGACATCGCCGCACGGCGACAAACCGGACAAACCGACGTGATGCGACGCTACGCGATACAACGCAACGCGACGCACGGCGCCGTGACAATCAAAGATGGCGGTTTCGCGCGACAGCATGCGCGCTGAACTTGACGTAGCGTTTACAAAGCGCCCGATCTACATTCTCGAGCCTTGTAAATATCGAAAAAAAAAAAAAACTGAGCATGCTATTTAAGATGGCCTCAAACAAAGACCGATGACGAGCACTTCTCTTCTCCGATAGAGAGTATTTTCTAGATGGACGTGCAAGAATCTAGAGAGCGTCACAACGCGCGATTCGCTGAATGATAAACCGATTAACTGTTCTCCGAGACAAAATGCGAGAGGATCGTTTTGACATTGAAAAAAGAGATTAATCGGCACGCTAAGCTCTCTGAAAAGCACTCGGTATCTATCTTATCCATTCCGTGTCGAGCTGCCGAGTTCTTTCATTTCCACCGGCAACTAGGTCCATTTGTCGAAATTACGTCCATTCGACGAAGCACGAGAGAGAAAAGTAGGCTACCAACGACGGGTCTCATGAAATTTCATCCAAGTTTCCTATTTTATACGAACCGACGGAGAAAGAAAGAGGCTCTATCGCGTCAACTAATGCTCTCTCAACTTTAAATTTTCTAATAAAAAAGACAAGAAAGGTTTTATCCGACACGTTCTAGATATACGCTAATAACGTCTATAATCTTCATGTGCTTGTATCAATCGTCAGGAATATACACCTTCTGATGTATTTTCTTTTTATTTAGCAATCAAAATTTTGTCGTGAAATTCGATAAATTTAATATTTCCACAGGACCGTGTTTTTCTTATTATGATGCTAAAATTATAAAAGTTGCATTGCGATATCACGTTTGTTAAATTATAGTTATAATAATATACTGCTGAATATTTCTTATCGAAAGCCGAAACGATTTTTTCTCTATCAATTTGTAATAGAATTTCATATTTTTTTCAACTTTGAAAGTTTTATAGTTACTTTGATGAGACAAGTAATAATCAAATTAAATAATTTTAATATAATAAAATCATGAACAAAAATTGATTTTGTTTGTCATTTATTTTTACTCATTTAATAAATAACATATGTCGATTAAGGGCATATATTTTGTTCATGATCACTCTTATAATCACAAAACTTGTATTCTTTTAAGACTTTCCTATAAGTGAAAATAAAAGTCGCAGCGTAAGAAATAAGAATCTAGAAGAGAGTGATAGAAACGTCAACCATACTTCTAACAAGTAAATTAGAACCAGCAATAAAAAAAATAAACGCTTCTCTTACATTTCGCTCCCTAACAGTTTCGTTTACACTTCTGTCATTCTCCCTTTATATCCGATTTACGGTCTAATCTTTACTTTCGTCATGGTTCAGCTATACATGTCCTCTTAAAGCTTGTTCGAGTACTTAATTCCCTAATGGATCGAGTCCGTTCCCGGAATTGCCGCTGGTTTATGCAGCAAAAACTTGACGAAGAAAGAACGTACAATGACGGAAGTTTTCCAAACTTTTTTCCATTTAGCAGATTCGGTGAAATTCAAATTATCTCTATTTTAAACGGTTCCGCATAATTAAGGTTCTCTTCTGCGACGAGACTAATACCTCTCACGTAAATTCTACATTGTTGAAACATGGCTCTACAGCGATAATTCTCGCAAATACATTTCGCAAATACATGGAGGATCGAAAGTCATGCTCGAATAAAAAGAGGAATTTTTTACATGGTATAATCATCTCAAAACGAATTTCCTTCGCTTTCGAATTACCGCTTCTCGCATCAATAAACGTTCAGTCACTGTTTCGTTAATTCTCGGGATACTATGTGTATACATGGCATACATTTTTAACTGACGATAAAGCAATGAATAATTTATATTACTGTGTATTTGTAGAATGTTGAATAATTTGAAGAACTTTGACGAAATCTTACGGAATGGAATAAAATAAATGGCGATTGTGCACTACAGGGGATCCAGTTCCGATGACCTTGATCTTGACATATGTTGTCAAGGTCATGACCTTGAATAACCTCCAACAAATTTTAGTTCGTTATTCATAAAGTTCTTAATAAAAAAAGTTTAAACAGTAATGTCTTATTTCTATCACATACATTAAAAACTACTTTATACCCTTCGTTGTCTAGGAGCGTTTGATTTTTCACGCGAAGGGAAGTTTACCCCACCTCTCCCCCTGCCTAGAAGCGCACGATTTTCCACGCGAAACAAAGTTCACTCCATCTCCCTCCTTGCTTAAGGGCGATCGACTTTCCAAGCAATGAAATAACTTCAACTTCACCTCCCCCCCTGCCATGAGGCGTCCGACTTTCCACGTAAAGCGAGTTCCATCCCACCTCCCCTTCCCCTGCCTAGAGGCGTACGATTTTCCACGCAAAGCGAGATTCACCCCATCTCCCCCCTACCAAGGGGCATTCGACTTTCAACGCGAAACAAGATCCACCCGCATGAAAAGTCGATCCCGCTTTGACAAGAGGGGAGGTGGGATGGAACTCGCTTCGCGTGGAAAGTCGGACGCTTCTAGATAGAGAAGGAGGGAGTGTGTGCAGTATTTCTTACACTGAAAAAAATTTCTGGTTGAAAATGGACGAATCAGAATTTTCTGGTTAAATTTATTAGAATTCTAGTTGAAATGACCGGAATTCTGGTTGATACAATATTTCTAGTAAAATCTACTAAAATTGTTATTTTTACCAGAATAATTATATCAATCAGAATTTTAGTTAACTCAACTAAAATTCTAGTTGATTTAACCAGAAATTCTGATTCGTCCGTTTTTCTACCAGAATTACTATTTAATCCAACCAGACCATTTTTCTCAGTATAATAACGGATCTAGTAAGAATGAAACATTATTCGTTATATTAATCTTAAACTTTTTTTGTTAATAATTAACTAATTTTAAACTTTTTTATTAATAACTTTTTAATGAATAACGAGCGCCGGCTAAAAAGAGATCATTCACAACAATGTCAAGATCAAAGTCGAAGCTGGGTCCCCTATAGTGCATAATTACAAAATAAATTTTCTAATTAATGTTTTTATTTATGGAATTTTATATTAATACACATAATATTTAAAAATATAAAACTAAACGGTCATCATTGTGTTTAAAGAGTTTGATATTTCGATCGTAATTTTAATTTCGTTAAAGTATAAACAAAGTTATAGATACGTATTATTTACATTATATTACACAATCAAATTAATTGTTAAAATATTAAACTATTAGCATCGCAATGAGAATTGCACAGTTACAAAAATTCAATATTCTTCTGTATTCTTGACGCTTCCACAATGCTTTTACATTCTCAAATGCTCGAAGAAAAATATCAGTTACTTGATTTGCAACATATCTAATATTACAGTGCAACACATATTCGAATGTATATCACACAGCTTTATGAGAATATACACGGCGTAATTAGCATATTGCCTGAAGTGACTCGATTTCGAAATATTTACGACTGATCTACAACGACCCAGTATCTAATTAATGTTGGAATTAATTTACTCGCCTATGTAGTTATTAAGAAGAAAGATGACGACAAATCCAACGACTACCGATAGAAATTGTAAAATGCCCGCAAATCTGCATGAACTTTTGTGCCATCGCGTCCTTTCCCTCGGAAGAACTTCACTTACGGTAACGTATAGTAAAGTTCCGCCTGCGAGACCTTGCAAAATTGGTAATACCACCTTGGACCAATCCGTATCCGCCTATGCGCATTCAAAATGGATATTAGAATTATAGCGAATTCGATTAGATATGCGCACTACTATGCATATTAAAGCCGTTGTCCACTGATTTAATTTAATCCGTGTTAAAAGTAAACTGCAAATATTTCTAATTATAAAATATGGAATTTACTTAACAGTACAATAAAATGTATTGAGAATTTCATAGTTTAATCCGCGTCTTTATATTTATATTAAACACACATTTTTATGTCAATTTGTGTACAATGGCTTTAATGGCACCAGTATATACGCATTGAGTGTATCCAACAGAATTAGCTATTAGATATAGTCTTCCAAATTGACGTCATCCAACGATATTTAAATAAGAACTTGTCAAAAAATAAGTTTTTTCTCACCTGAAACGTTAGCATGCCAATGCCGATTCCGATGACGGATCCAATGGCGAATAGAAAAATCGTAAATATTAATTTAGGAACAGATTTACTAACTCCCGCTAATTCCAGCCCCAAACAGAAGCCGACGACAAACTTGTGTGATGCTACCGCTCCGGTTAATAACAACACCTTAAAAAAGAAAAACATTTCGTAATACCGTATGCATTATATAAAATTCTTCGGAAAATCTGATGATAAAATTGAGACAATGTCTCGTAATGTGTCTTGCACGAGTGTTTGCTGCATAATACAGAGATTATATTGTAAAAATAATAGTACATATAATATTCCATCCTCTCTCTCTCTCTCTCTCTCTCTCTCTCTCTCTCTCTCTCTCTCTCTCTCTAATTAAATTTACACATTTAAAAATCATGCAAATTCGATATAAATTTAACGTGGAAACAACGCTGTCATAACTCTACTCGCTATACTATTATCTTATAATTCTAATTTATCTCTCTTCTCATTACTACACAGAGAGAAAGATGTTTGGTATTTGTAACTATAATTATATATTACTATAATTATGATTATTACTGCTATAATAATAGTAACAGTAACTATATATATAGTTCCAGTAACAAATGTTATAATTGGCAACCTAAAATGACTATAATTATAGTTGTTATAACCATAAAATAGTTGAAATTACCATAAAAATGGTTCAAGTGACTATAATTTTATAGTTATATTTTGGGACATCCATATTTTTTATGGTTGTCCCAAACTATTGTTGCTGGAACTATATATATAGTTACTGTTACTATTATTATAGCAGTAATAATCATAATTATAGTAATATATAATTATAGTTACAAATACCAAACATTTTTCTCTCTGTGTATTTATTACACTGAATAGTAATTAGCAGCATACCTCTGCAATTTTCGTCTGCAATCCTATCGCAAGTCCTTCGAGAACGGCATGTACAGTGAGAGCGACAGCGAGACCGGCGAGACCAGTATTGGCATCGGTACATTGTTCGCCATGATTTCCGTGACATAAAAATGTATTTTCTTCGTTCGACAATCTTGAACGACAGTCACACGCGATGCATCGCGTCGTGCCGTAGGTAGTAAATGTCTGCGCGTTATTGGCATTATTACCAAGAGGATTTTGTCGGTAATTGAGCGGTAATTTCACGTCGCCTTCGGACATGTACACCTTGCTGTCTTGCGAGGCAGCATTGTAACCAACACTTTGATTTTGATAGTTCGAACAACTGAAATTCAAGATAGATGTAATTCAATCAAAGGGAAACAAAACCGAGATCACGCAAAGATACATACATGCGTGGGAAACGAGAAAAGTGTTGAAAGTCGATGATGTTCAAACGACGTTTAATTCCTAATGCTGATTCTACAATGAGTTGGTAATCGGAAATTTTAAGTCTTAACCTAAATAGGTGACTATGATTTTTCGCATCTACTAATTGTTAATTGTACAACGAGTCATTTAGATCGACTAATGAGAAGGAATAAAATCGAATTTGGTCAATCTTAAGAAAATCGGTAGCTTAGTCGTACAAGTTGGCTGTTGGCCAACTTCACCGATTCATCGGTAAGACTTAAGGAAGTTGTAAGGCAAATGCAATATATTAAAAATTACTTGAAAAAATTACAGAATTGCATTTAAAAGTAATACAAAAAAATTAGAGACAGTTGGCCATCTGGATCAAAAGTTATTTCCATAAAAAGTAATATTTCTTAAATTTGTACTCTAATAGAAATATATGAGACTGTATTAAAAAATAATGATAAAGATTTAAATTTTTTTATATAAGTACTATGTGAATTCAAAAATATTTATGTAAAGTTAGATAGAGATGCAGACATTAATTGTTCAGTAAATAAACAAAATATTTATTAGTTTAAACTAATTGGTGAATCTCAATGAAACTTTGCATTAGTCATGTTTTTAATACTTAATATATTTATATAAAAAAATTTAGATTTTTATTATTTAAAAAATTTTTGTTTATAACAATAAAACTAATAACAAATAAAATAAATAATCTATAAAAACGTGTTGGTCAATAAAAACAAAATGTTATGAACACAACTTTCACATGTATGTATTGTTTAAAGCGTAAATATTAATGTGTTGTTTTTTTTCTCTTACAACCTCCTTAAGGACTATCGACTATCGACTCATAGGCCGGTATTTATAGTATTCGGTTCTTATTTCAGTCTTAAGTAATGTCTAAGACACTAACGCGGTCCTCTGATTGGTTCATAATATTTTGAAACTGTACTTAAGACGATCTTAAATATAAGAATCGACTATGAATACCAGACATTGTAGAATCAGCTTAATGTCAACATTCTGCCATCGATTGGAAATGCCACGGTAATGAGAATGTTACGTTATTACATCGTTACGAAAACAAAACAAGCAAAGTGCACTTTAATCATTTCGAGTTGCATGTACGGGAATTATGTGTGATATACACGATAGATATATTTTGTACACCCAATTTCCAAAGTAATTTTTAAAAAAATTAAAGTAGGTGTAAATAGTTAATTAAAGAGTATTAAAGTAAAAAAAAATGTTGGAGAAGCTTTCGTGTAAATGACTTAAATATGAACTTACGTCGGTCACGAATTCGAATGTATTCGATCTCGACGCTTATTGCGGATAGAAAGATGTTCGAGTGTCAATCTTGAGAATAGGTAACATCGTAAATTGATATCGATATCTAGCTACGGGCACGAGTGATCATTCTTCATTGACATTATTGCGTATAAGTTCGCTTCGTTCATCATGTTCATTTTTCATCTTGATGGAAGATATTTTTAAAGACCAAGGATAGCTCATTCGAGTACGACCGTTTTGTACGAGGCATTTCGCTGCTGTTTGTGAACTTTAGAATTTATTTTGACAAACTTCATTCGGCCAAACAAAGAGCCAAGTAGTTAAAAATAACGTATCGTTTATCACCATTACGTGGTCTTTTATATCTACCACAGAGTCCATTAATTTATCTCGTAGACGAAGATCTTTCGTGCGATTTTTACCAACGACAAAAAGATTTCAAAACTTCAAAGGGAAATTCTTCATTTTTTAACTGATTGAATTATTCAAACGAGATTTCATCTAAAGTAATAAATTTAATAATAATTAGGAAAGAGTCGAAAAATACTCGATAAAATTATTATCTTCGATTACAATCGTAAATGATTCCATTTAAATCAACTTGTACACGTATCATAAGTATGTTATTTTTTTTTCATTCCCGCATCAATTTTATATTTCAAGCTGTCTTATATCAAGTTATCGATATCGATTGTTTATTACAAAAGTTTTCTTAAAAGTAAGAAACTCAAGACTAACACAGGCGTGCTATAATTTTTATATTTTTACGATAATCTCGAAAATTTCGTTAATCATGAAAAAGCATTGTCTTGTCGCTTATCGATGATAATGGACGATAATAATGTCGCAGAACTTGACGCCACATGTAGGTATCACGTGCAAGTGTTCGGAAATAAATCAAGCTATTGATTTTTTGAAAATTGGATTATTACTCTAGGAGCATTACACAAATAGAATTTATATATATATGTATGTATATATACTATATATATATAAAGTATATATAATCATAGTATACGTAGGATCATGTTTAGTAGAAAGAATAAGAGTTGATTGCAGAATAGCTTCGAAGTGTAAGCATTCGCCACTTTATGACCTTTATTGCGTCGTAAATTTTCCATCGATCGTTTTACAGTCACGTCACTTACATGCTCGTGAAATGTTAACGTATTCAAAGAAGCTGAATGATGGTACGAAGCACCTTCGGCACGTACCTACCCTCGCTCGTGCGCGATCCTAGAGTCCATGAATCCGGAAGAACGAGAATCCGTCTCGGACAGCTCGGACTCATGATTTCTGTCCCGACAAAAATAATGCACGCATTCTTCGACCAAATACAGCACGAGAAAGCCGCAGGAAAACACCAGCTCGGAATAATCCGACAGACCTCGGCGTACTTCCGGTAGCACGTGAAGCATCGCGGTGGCTAGGAGAACACCAGCGCCGAAGCACAAGGTACAAGAAAGCAGCAGCTTCTGTTGGAACTGACGAGTACGCGAGATGAAGCAAGCGGGCACGATGCCGACGACGAAGCTGCCGGCGCCAACCAGCACCATCGACGCCAATTTCGCTTGCACGGCGTTGCTGAACATCGTTTCGTTTAGCTATTAGATATCTCGCTGCGTTACGAGTTTCGACGCTTCAGACGCCCGCAATCTCGATCCCTATATCCTCGTTCGCAATAATAACTTGAACTAGCGTATCTCATCTGACACCACCGAATACCAAATTCGCGGAAATTCCACCTCGATCCTCACACGACAAACAAGATGTTTTTTTTTTTTTTTTTTAGGAATACTTTGAAGACACGTTGCATGTGCGTCGCAACGGCACGACTCGTGATGTCTCCAGACTTTAATCTGACGACAATGATAACGCTGATAGAGACCGACACTTGGCATCTGCTATCCACCGACGTGGATGTTGGAGAGAGTCTACGACTTTATCATTAGTCTCGCGACTAGCAGTAGATGTTACATCTAGTTCTAATCTTACCTTATCAAAAGCGATATGATGAGAGCGCAATTTTGTTCCCGAGGGGTAAATTTTAAGATTTATTGTCAGATACATACACACACACACAAATGTCCTCTCGAAATGTTAGATATTATCAAATCTTGATACTCTAAATCTACTATTATAAATCCACTAGCTATTAGATGAGATAAAGTCTGTTCTTTACGTAAACAATGACTACGTTTACATTCATTTCGTTCTTCAGAGAAATAGCTATGATTGACTACTAGAATTCTACTAGACGATGCACGTGTTTCAAGTCTCGATACATATTGTACGTTACATACAATATGTATAAAAATATATCAAAATTGATATATTCATCATCTGACTTAATTTATATCATTTGAAAGATTTGCGTTATAATTCAGAAACAACAGACACGGACCCTTGAAAAGTCATCTGCAGATCTCATGACTCTGATGGTAATCGACAATAATTGACAGAGTAATCACTATTGCGATCGACGGTAAAAAAAAAGTGTATTTATAGTACGTGTATATGTCAAAAGATGTAGCATCTCACGCCCGTTTCTTAAAGTCACTAGATTGACAAAGGTCGGTATTCATAGTCGGATCTTATATTTAAGACCGTCTCAAGTACAATCTTAAGATGTCATGAACCAATCAGAGGGCCGCATTAGCGACTTAAGACATTACTTAATGCCTGATTTATGCTTCGGTCTTAACTCTAAAATTCAGCCAATAGGACTGCCAGTTTTAACTGGTTCTAACTGAAATCTGTATTCCATTGGCTAAATTTTAGGATTTTAGGATTAAGACCGAAGCATAAACTAGGCATAAGACGGTCTTAAAATAAGAACCTACTATGAATACTGGCCAAAGTCCCGCGAACTGCCGCCATTTTGGTTCCATGACGCGGTTATTTCAAACTTATGTATGAATGTAGGCTGCGGTCCACTTGACGTTACAAACGCTTCGAAGCGTTTGAGCGACCAATCAGAACAAAGAATTTTACAAATTGACTAATCAGAGAATGCTTCGAAGCGTTTGTAGCGTCAAGTGGACCGCAGCCATGCTCCGTCGGCCATTTTGAATCAGCCAAATTGCCCAAACTCTGATTGGCTGATATAACCCCCGCTCCTTTCAAACCACTGCGCATCCACCAGAATGATTCACCTTTCTTATTACATCCATGTGTACTAGTTCAGAAAGTGCAGCAATAAAAAATAGATCTATGGTTGGAATCACGGAGTGATATTTTAACCTAAAGTTTCGAACTTCAACGCATAATTCGATTCGCAAGGCCGATCGCCACCTTTTTTTACCAGATTCTTTTATTTTGAGTGAAAACGCGTCGAATGAGTACATTTTTATTAAAATTCTAGGGGGAATTCTAATTACACAAAGGAATATGTAACACAAGGTCATATATTCGACGTGATGAATGAAAAGTGAGGTTACGGCGCGATATACGAATTAAAATACGATAATGTTATCGAGGAATGAAAAAAAGCGTTTACCCAAGGGTGAAAGTAAGCGTGAGGATGACAGGTATTATAGGAAAAAGCATCACGACGATCGTAAGAATGAAAAACACATCTTCTCAAGATCCGCTGCGCGAAGCGACCGGGAAATGCCCAAGATTTTCGATGACGCGAGAAATTCTCTGTCACGAAACTCGTCCTCGGAAAGTCGTCACGAAGATAGCAACGAGGACTCGTATTTCAGTAAATATAAACACGAATTGAATAAGATTTTCACGGCAAATCCGAATCTCGTCCATGACATTGTGGATTTTTGGAAATTCGTCGAGAAATACGAGTCTGTTAAGAAGCAATTGGGCGACAGTGAAGAATCTGAGATTAATTCCGCTCTAAATTCCATCGGGCTGCCAGAAAAGTATCACAAGTCTCATTGTCTAAACTTCAAGCTTAGTTTATCCTATGGAGAATTGTTTGCCAGAGTCCCAGAAGCAAAACCATTGATCGAATTAAGACTGCTCAAGTTCAGGGATGTGATACTCTTATACTTGGACTTTAAACAAAAGGAAAAATTTGCCAAATTAAAAAAACTCCGAGACACTCAAGCTAACTTACCAGTCGCACGATACAAAGAAAAAATTGTTGAAATGATAAAAACAGAGAAGGTAATCGTCGTAGCAGGAGACACTGGTTGTGGGAAATCTACTCAGATCCCTCGATACTTGTACGAAGCTGGTTTCCAAAAAATTGGTAATGTGCTTCTTATCTCATTATCAGTCTAAATATTTTATATCGTTTTATTATTTTTATATATATATATATATAGCAAAATATTTGCAAAATGTCTAATTTTTCTTCAACTCGTTTGTAATACTTGTACAGCATGCACGCAACCCCGAAGAATAGCATGCATCTCCTTAGCAAAGCGAGTTGCTTTTGAAACATTGAGCGACAATCTTAGTAGAGTTGGATATCAGATACGTTTTGAGAAACAGAAGAACCAAGAGACAAACATTACATTTATAACAGAGGGTTTATTGTTGCGTCAGGTAAATATCTAAATATCTGCAAATTACATTTAGTAACTAGAGATAGTCTCAACAAATTTTGTAGAATACAAATCAATATTTCATTTAGGTGTCAAGCGAGTCGACTTCACTTGCATATGATGTGATAGTTTTGGACGAAGTACATGAACGTCACCTGCATGGAGATTTTTTACTCGGCATTATGAAATGTATCATTTATCAAAAACCCGATTTAAAATTAGTTTTAATGTCTGCGACTATTAATGTAGAACTTTTTAGTAATTATTTCGCAAAGGAAAATGTTAAAATAATACAAGTAAGTGTGTCTGTATATTTCAGAATATAATATTTTAATAATTTCAAAAGCTTATATATATAAGCTGTATTTCGTTTCATGTATAATGTGCATAATGCATCATTTATCCTTGTTTAACATTTGATGAATAACAAAGATAAAAGATGCATGCGTGAAACGGAACGCAGCCATAATCACATCAATGCAATTTTAAACACCTTTCGGTATAAACTAAATATGTCAAGTATCCTACTAAGATTTTTCATGTATTTTCTTCAAAGGTTCCTGGAAGATTATATCCCATTCAATTATTATATCGTCCTGTAACTGTACAAGACCTCAGATACAAAAATGATCGATTTAATCCCAGTCCATATGTACAAATTATGCAAATAATTGATCAAAAATATCCAGGTAGGGACTTATATTTTATATAATAATAATAATGTAAAATGAAAAAGTTATAATAAGGAATAAAAGTAAGATTATTTCCTATTCATTAAATTTTATTTAAAATTATCCCATACAAATATAAATTAAAATAATCACAACGATAAAAATATTTCAGTTGATGAGAAAGGTGATTTATTAATGTTCTTGAGCGGAATAAGTGAAATTACTGCAGTCGTAGATGCTGCCAAGGAATATAGTATGAAGAAAAATAACTGGATAGTTTTACCACTTCACAGTACTCTCTCTATCATTGAACAAGATAAGGTATATTTCTTCTGCGATACTATTTTGATGAATCACTTTTATATACATTACAAAAGAATATCAAAAAGTTCTTTTTTCTTTTCATTTCTAGGTATTTGACTATGCACCTGACGGTGTTAGGAAGTGCATCGTCGCAACTAATATTGCGGAAACTTCTATTACTATTGATGGAATCAGATTTGTCGCAGATAGTGGAAAAGTAAAGGAAATGAGTTATGATCCGTCGTGTAAAATGCAAAGACTGAAAGAATTTTGGATAAGCAAGGCCAGTGCGGAACAAAGGAAAGGAAGAGCAGGCAGGACTGGACCTGGAGTTTGTTATAGGTAACGTGCTATAATATAGTTCCAAGTGAATCTGTACGAATTTCCATTTTACATGGAAAAGTGTTCAGGAATAAATAATATTGTTTTATATCCACTTTCACAGAATTTATTCGGAAGAAGAGTACAAGATATTGGAAAAATATTCAACGCCAGAATTACAACGTGTACCTTTAGATTCTTCACTGTTGCAAATGATAGCGATGGGACTTCCTGATGCGCGAAAGTTTCCGTTTATAGAACCACCACCAACGAATAGTATAGAGAATGCTATACTATCCTTAAAAGATCACGTTGGTATCCCAGTCGGTTTTGTTTTTCTCACAAAATACCAGATATAAAATTTAACTTTTTTTCTTACTAGGATGCACTTACTGATAACGAAAAGATCACATGTATCGGTAAAACCTTAGCACGGCTACCTGTTGATATTACAATAGGGAAGATGTTAATAATGGGATCTATTTTTCATCAAGTGGAACCCGTATTGTCACTGGCCGCTGCTCTAAGTATACAAACACCGTTCACTAACAGGGCTTATAGGGATACCGAATGTGAAGTAATTAATGCTTACAAATGAAACGACTGCGCTATATTGCTAATTACGTAATGAAACAATTTCGATAATATTACAGACATCTAGAAAGAAGTTGGAATCCGATCATGGTGATCCAATAACGTTATTGAATGCATTTAAAGAATGGCTTGAAGTGAAACAAGAAAATTCTCAAGAATATAGAAGTAATAGTAATAGTAGTAGAAAATGGTGCAAAAGAAGAGGTTTGGAAGAACAACGATTCTACGAAATGACGAAATTAAGGGCTCAATTTAAAGACTTACTTCAAGTTAGTCTCACGTTATACCTCTCATACATTTCTTACATAGATATCTAATATCGTTACATATACCTAATACTACTTGTTGCTTGTACATGACATCATGCAGGATTGCAATTTACTCAAAAGTTTCCCAGAACCAAATTCTTCCATGACGAGCGCAGAACGTACCATAAGATATGGAGAACTGAAACTTTTGAAATCTCTCAAAAGAACTTACAAACAAAGTGAACCTAAAAGGCGTAAACAGTTAAAAATAGAAACATTCGATATACAATTGGAGGATAATGCTGAAGATAATGGAGAACTTGACATAAAAGATATAGAATTTCGAATGAGAAATGACTCGAGTCAGGTGCAGAATCTTTTAACGGCGTCTACCGCATGTACCTATAAAGATCTGACAATGTTAAAATTGATATTATGTAGTGGTTTATATCCACAATTTGCTTGTGCTGACGAGTTTAATTATTGCAAGGTAAAAATTATTTGCTCTATGTACTTTATACAGTATGATTCTTTTAAATACATATTAATACTTTGGATTAAATGTAAAGAAATTCAAAACTAGAGAAGATATTACGAATTTAGATGATTTTGTGCTTTCTTATTAATTAGATAATAAATTTTAAAAAGATGTTCTAAAATTTGCTTATAATTGTGAATCATGCTGTATATATTTAAAATGATGTATTTATATAATAAATATATCTTCAAACTATTATCCAGTCTACAAGTGAGCAATTATTTCATACTAAAGCGAAACCATACGTTGCTTTGCATCCAATGAGCTTTTTTGGAAATCATCCACAAGTTTTGCAAATCGAAGAACCGGATATAATGTCAATGCCAGGGTTTAAGAGCAAGACTCCCGTTAGTTGTAAACATGAGATATTGGCGTATCTGTAAGTTTTTATTTTGTGTGTGCGCGCGTGCATGTGCGTACATGCATATCAAATGTAAGTAAATTTAAACGTTTCATATAATATGCTAACATTATTAACAGGTCCCTCTTGGAAACTACAAAACCATATCTAGTAAATACTTTAAGAATGCCTGCCGCACAAACATTGCTATTATTTGCACATGAAATAGACACAAATAGCACATTCTCTATGTAAGTACCTAATTACCTTTGTAAATTTTAATTTCTTAATTTATAATTTCTTAATGAGATAGTAACAGTTTAATGATAATTTGAAACTGTTTTTACATCTTGTAGAATAGTGTGCGATTCGTGGCTTATGTTAGAATTTCCCACGCCTGACAGTGGTCAAATTTTGTTGATGAAAGCTACCAAATTAAGAAATAAATGGGACTTTTTATTAAATCAACAATTGCAAGGTAATAAATTGCATTTGCAAATAAGTTGTATGTGCACATTTCTCTAGAATGTTAAATATGTAGCAAAATTAATATATGTCTTATATTAGGAACCAATGATGTTAATGATGAAAGAAAAGATTTTAGTAAAATTGAGCAATATCTTACGCAAGAACTGATTGAATATATGCATACTATGATACCATACACCATAAAACGGCTGTTACCTGCCGATTTAAAAATGATATATGTTGGTAATAGCTGTAATGATACGAGTATAGAACCTAATCCTTTTCAACCCGATTTTAAAAGTATACCAAATGTAATTAAAGGTGGAGTTTTTGTAACAGATAGTATTACATATAATTGGTAAGTACAAAAAATCATAATATAATTATTTACCAAATTGCTATTACTGTATAAAATGTAAACTTCATTATTAATTAATACAATACAAAGATTATTGTTTTCATTAATGAAACTTCAATTTTACATTATAGTATAAAAGAAACCAATTGGAGTGAACAACTAATTGCAGAAATGCAAGAAACTGAATGGCATTGTCAAAATTGTGATCTCCAAGCAATCTTGTCGAGTATCGAAAAACTTCAACATCAGAACTCTTGTAAAATTGCAGATATGATTACCGTTGATGCAAAAAGTGAAAATAGTACACGTAAAGCTAATAGTCAAGCATACGAATGTCCTGATTGTTTGCTAACGTTATACCTTACACCTATCGAAATATTAAAGCATAAAAAATTGCATATCAAAGCAAGTTAAAATATCTATCGATTGTACATAAATGGAATATATGATTTATTAAAAGTAACGTTTCACATATAACTGATTCTTCTTTTACTTACAATTAGAGATATACATATAAGTATTTCATTAATATAGGTGCAATGCGCCTATATTAATAAAGTTCTATATATACATGTTATCTACAATATAGTCAAATATTTGTACGTATGTATTTCAAAATTCATAAAAATAATTGTATTCTTTTAAATATTTTTAAGTATTCTTCGCAAGTAGTTTTCGATTCTAAAGATTTATTCTTTGCATATACATGTATATTTGAAAAGTTTAGAAACGTTCTTGCAACAAAAACAAATGAAGAGACAGAAAGAAAGCACACCATCCATATATAAAATATGATATATCAAGTCCATGGCAAGAAATTTGAAAACATAAAACAACCTACAATTGTATATCCTATAAAGTAAAATAATATAAATTTATCTTGCAATGTATATTGTTTTTTATATAACAAAAATACTTTCCATTTAGAGCACATATTTTCGTCACTTTCGTACTGTAAATCGGTATGATTGGTACATTTGTGAGACATGGTTAATGCACAGTACCAATATATCAAGGGAGTTGCAGAGGCTAATAAACGTGTACTAACTTGGATATGTACAAAGAATAAGCAAAATATGGTTAGAAATAATCCATGTACTACAAAAACAAACATACTTGATGGATATTTTTTTACTTTAACAATATTTTCGCTTTTTGCCTTGCTATCAAAAAAGCCTAACAAGTATAATTCATCTCTTATAAAATTCGGTATTTGTTTGAATTGATAATATCTTAAAAATCCGATATTCCAATATGTCTTTTGCACATACGAATATGCTAAAGGCACACTAGCGTTACACCATATTGAGTCTGTTTTACCTGCTAGAATCAGATTATTTTCTACAGCATATTGTAAAATGTGAACTGGCAATAACGATTTATCGAATGTAGAGGTACAGAATTTCATATAATTGTATATTTGTAAAAGGACAAATGGAGATAGCGATATAATCATTACGCTTAATATAGTAAAATAGTTATTTAATTTCATTAATTTTAAAATATGCCATAAGATTGATAGTACATTATGTTTTCGTCCATGTGTTTCTATTCTTTCTGAATTACACAAATTCTTAAGCCCGAAATATATAGGGAAACCAATGTTGACGATACCATTTGATCTTGCTAAAGTTGATAAAGCCAATGGAAAATAGATGTTAGGCATGCACTTCATACTTCCGAGCATAATGTAAAATGTTAAATATGCAAACATAGATTCTGAATATAACGCCGAGAAAAATATACTAGCCGGATTTATACAATAAAGTATAGCCGCTTTGTAAGCCGTTACAGTATTTTGAAATACACTCTCAGTGAGATCATAAAATATAATAGCAGACTTTACGAAACACACGAAATTAATTAAAATCGCAGCAACGATCATCGTACTTTGCATGTTGAATAAAGGAAATACTTTTGTCAAAATAACAGCGATAATGCGAATCATAGTTGGATACAACGGATAAAAAGCGAGAGTATTCTCATATGTGTACCCATATCTTGCAATATGTAAAAAATATTCTCCATCCCAACGTGTAAGACCATTGAATAAAAAATTAATTATTTGGTCGCAGAGAGAAACTTTCTCCGCAGAATCCAAAGGTCTTTTAAATGCATCTGCATGATGATCGGGGATTAATACATTGAAAATTACTTGTAATTTTAATATCACAATTCTAGTAATTATCGCGAACCAAAGAACTTTCTTTCTCGACGTATACATTTTGCGCTACTTTTACGCTTAATTTCTATAACATAGTAGTAGAATTATATCTAATCATAATGAATCGTAATGAATTATTAAATAAACTCATATAAATAAACGCAATATAATCTTGCTCAAGGTCTAATTATATCTGCCAATGATTCTGATTTTTTATTTCCTGTGTATGTATTTTTATTATATGAAGAGGAAATAGTCGAATCTCTCTCTCAAGCCGTTCGTAACGAAATCACTGAGTAGAAATTGCTGCAGCTCTAAATAAGTGAGTACTGGAGAATAGTGCTGGAAAAGAAAATTCTTATGTGACATACACATCTATTTTTTTTACATATGTCGCACTAACATGCATCTTTAAATTTATTCATTATCGTAATTAACTTTTCATTAATTACTGCACAAAACGCTACAACACAACAGCAACTTCCACTTATATCTGCGGACTTTCCCCCCCCCCCCCCGAATAAATGTACGTATATACATACATATACAAATATCTCATATTATAATCTGCATAAATCTTGTAATTTCTTTTTAATCATCTCTTATATGCGTTTTGCTCCTTCGTTTTACAGTTTCTACATATTGAATTGACATTATGGTATGTCTCTCTCTGTATTCTAGATTTCAAGAAGTCTGACAAGAAATTGAAAAAAGAAATTGACAAAACTTTCGACGAGAACTTGACAGATTGGTTATTTACTGAATGTTGGGATGGACGTAATAATAATCAACCGAATAAATACTCACGTATGATACTGTAATCGAATATCCTGGTTACGACGGATGGTACAATAACGGTTGGTAGATCTACAAGCAGTCGATACTCCGTTATTAAGAAGACTGCCAACAGCTTACGAAGATGAAGTGTATAAACCTTCAGGCTCTAACAGACCATTAGAGATAAGTGAGAAGCTACTGGAAAAATTGAATCTAAATCAAGACCGGGGAGAAACCCTCTACTTGTATTTTTCGGTATACGCGAATACGATTTATCTTATACAATTATATTAAATATTTAAAATTATATTACTATCATTGGTAAATTTACACCTCAAATTTATCAATATATGATAAATTATATCATGCATAAATTTAAGCTATATCTGTATATATTGTATTATATGTATAATATATATATATATATCTGAAAATCTTTCTTTATAATTTTATATTTTATAGATGAATATATTCCGTCTAATATATTCTGCGTATAAATTTACAGACAAAAATAATATAAATTATGCACGCGCACATGCATATTTATCATCTATCAGATTAAATGTGTTTCACACATATTTTTTAGATGTTAACGTTCGACCGTTATGGCCATTTCATATTTGTCGAATTTTTTAGATGTATTTAGAATTAATGTATTCAGGAACTAAATGACAACTAGTTAGGACTAGGACAGTATTATTATATAAAACTTAAACGAATACAATGGAAAAATGTATGCTCAACAGGTCAACAGATGGTGAAGGAAATTTTTTTAGATGCTCAGAGACCAGTGTGCCCACCCGAATATATTAACATAAAAATTCCAAAGAATCATCGATACAGAAGTAAACCGGGACACACGGAAATGCCTGGTTTAAGTACACGATACGATTATCGGACGAGTCATTCGCCGAATAATCCTCATCAACAAGTACGACAATGTACGGTTCTCGAAACATAGCAACCCCGTTAACAAGCGACATTGTTTTTCAACATTGCTCAAATCTAAACTTCGATATGCAATAATCATAGCTGAACGAGATTACACCATACTTACAATTAGACGGTGGATTGATTTACGGTACGTCCAAAGTGTGGCCCGACATTTTAAGAATGAATGCCAATGGAATATTGCAGGACGACTCGCGTCGTCGGATTTTCCTCTGTATCCCAATTATAATACCGTTAGATTACCGATGACCAATCCACCGCCACTTATTCATCATCATCGATATGTTTCACAGCATTACACCGAGAGTATCTCCAGATATTTCAGTAAGTGAGAAACTTTATTGTCCATAAGCCGATAAACTATATCAGAATTTTGTGCCACAGATGCGTTTAGCATAATCAGCTATATGATGATCCTTCGGGGTACATTCGTACTCGATCTTCTCCGAATAAGGCATCGGAACGTCAATGCCGGCGCATCGAACCGCAGGTGCGTCCAGCTGAAAAAAGACTGGATTTTCCATCACTGTCGCGACAATCTCGGCTCCTACTCCGCATCTAGGCCAGCCCAGTTCGACGGTCATTAATCTGTGTGTTTTGCTGATTGACTTGAATACCGTGTCCCAATCCAAAGGTCTCAGCGATCGTAGATTGATAACTTCCGCCTCGATTCCTTGTCCTGCCAACAACTCGGCCGCTTGAAGCGTATATACGTACGCCTGGCCATGTGTCACTAGAGTGATGTGCTTGCCAGGTTTCTCCACCTTAGCCTTGCCGATAGGTATCTGGTAGTCCTTGTCCATAGCTTGGTCGGACACGGGAAACTCAATATTGTAAAGCAGTTCACTCTCCAACATGATTACGGGATCGGGATCTCGTACGGCCGCCTTCAAGCAGCCCCTGTAATCTTCACAGGTCGACGGCGACACGACTTTCAAGCCAGGCGAACTCATGAACCACGCGGCAAAACATTGAGAGTGCTGTGCAGCCAAACCTTTGGCATTACCGTTTGGCCCTCGGAATAGAATAGGAACGGAATATCTTCCGGCGGACATGTAGAGATTCTTCGCAGCGCCATTGATGATACGATCAATGGCTTGCATGGAGAAATTGAAAGTCATAAATTCGCATATCGGTCTTAGACCTAGTAGCGCTGCACCGATGGCAATACCGCAGAATCCAGCCTCCGTAATTGGTGTATCGATCAATCTTTTGTCGCCATATTTCTTCCAGAGACCACGCGTTATCTTGTAAGCGCCGTCGAATTCCGCGACCTCCTCTCCTAATATAAATACCTTCTCGTCCCGAGCTAACTCCTCGTCGAGGGCCATATTCAACGCTTCGCGCACTGTCATCTTCGTGACCGATCTACGGGACGTTTTACCTATGGGGATCTTCACCCGCAGTATCTCTTTATTCCTCAATAGTCGAGCAAGATACATTTTAAATTAAATGCTGTAATCAGTCTTAATTAAATTTCGAGCAAATTTCTGATCGTTATCGCCTAATTTGTTGTTGATTTCAATGCGGTTCAAACGTGTATGTTACGAAAATTCATGCCTGCTGACTTTCGGTATAATATGGTTTAGATGGCACAATTTTGTAGTATCTCATGTTAAACGTCACAATCCAAATTGGTCGAATGACGAAATTTTTAGTAAAGCCCGTAAATAGATAATAGCGACTTAGCAACACATTGTCAACGAATGGTTGCCTTCATGATTGAGAAACAGGCTTCCTGTGTACGAAGATAAAAAGTATCAATTTTCTAATTTTACACACATAATAGATAACAATTTATTAGATTACTTGTAATTTATGTGTAATTCAAATGATAATTTGTTCAAAGGTTACAATCCCAATATCGATCCGCAGATAAAGCAATTTTTCCAATCGGCCGCTTTTTGCTTTGGGCACACCTTGGTTCCATCAGGTAAACAATACTTTTTATTTCTCAACTCTTAACAATAAATGTCATATGTACGACGTATCGTTGACGTTGGTAATATTGTAATACGTTATTCATGTGTTTGCACTCTTTTTCTCATTCAATTGAATAAGGTACAAGGTGGTACAAAAAAAGACTTGATTTTTAACTAACACTAACAGCTTGTATTAAAAGTCGTAAGATATAAAACTGCGCTTTACAATCTAAAGATGTATATTATAATTACAATGATAATAATAATAATAATAATAACACTGCCACGATAATCGCAATAATCATAATACTAGGTGTATACTTACGCAACTATGGGAGGAATAATTGCTCATTGAAACCATATCCAATTAGAACTAGTCACAAGTATTTGACAATATACATAAAAATTTTGATGTTTCGACGTTTAAAACGCACATGTGATGTAAATGATGAATCGTTGTTTAGAATTCTCTCTATGCTAATTTAACAAGAATAAAAGATATTATCGTTATAGAGAAATTACTAATGGGGGGATAGCTATTCAATTATGTGAAGAGGAGGATCTTAAAATCGTTGAAGATCTTCAGGGTTTATTCATAAATTTGATGTGGCACTTAATATTCAGAGAGGACGTGATTATGGGGTACCTGATTATATATTATAATAGCGTTCGTCGTGCCTTATACGGTCTGGCAAAAGTTAAACATGTATCCTATTTTAATCGCGTAGATATATCGGTATGTTGTATAAAATCTATTTTTTTGTATAGTTAGCAGCAGCACTTATGAAAAAATATTATTCGCGTAATTCATGTAAAATCCGGGAGGAGTTTTTCAGTACAATTTATTCGATGACATGGACGAATATTGATTTTCAATAATTTTTTACTCAAATACTATCAACTTTACAGAAAAATAGCAACAGACAAAAATTGTTTATTTTCTTCTCATAAAGTTCTGAGAATTTTTTCAGAATTTTTTAATACCGTATTTTCTCATGTTAATAAGAATAAGAAAATGCAGTACTAAAAAGTTAATAAAAAATTTTGAAAAAATTCTCAGAACTTTTTTCTGTAAAGTTGATAATATTTGAATAAAAAATTATTGAAGATCAATATTCGCGGCAATTTTTAATAATATAATTAATATCATTGTTAACTATTGCGAAAATTGCAAAATAATACAGGACTTTTCGACTCAGTTTAATCCACTCTATCTACATAAAAGCGATTGGTAAAAACTTACGGGATTCCCTGTATATTGTTACTATTATGTATTGAGCACTTGAGAGGATACCTATTATCCTAGCGTTAATAAAGCTATCCCCCCCTTTCTCTCTCTCTCTCTCTCTCTCTGTTTTCACACCGATCAAATAAATGAACATACAATTGAGAATTAGCCTGTGCTTGTATAAGTTAATCGGAGTTGGTAAAAGTGGTTCTTATGTTATTTTTCTTCCTGTGTATTAATTCTAAACTTTCTACAATGTTATTCTCTTTAATCAATAGTTGAATCCTTATTTTATTGTTCTTCTGAATAATATTATTTTTATTTATACTTCGTAGTTTATTTAATATAATCTTATTAACTCCCAATATCGATTTTTATTTTTATATATATGTATATATCACACAATACATTAAAATTATACACTATAATAATTCAATGATATCTCTTAATGATCCCAAGTTTTACAATATTATTTCATGTAAGATCTTTTTTCACATAAACAGATATAAGCTGTACTCACATGTATATACTTCACAGTCTTTTTCATAAGCATCAATTCGATATCGCCCATTTTTTAGCCATGGTTGACCTTCATGGTTCCCGCCATTCTATCCTATTAAATTAATTAAAAAATACAGTGACAATAATCCTATTGTCATATAACTTTGGAATACAATAAGACACTGTTATAAAACAAAGTAAATATTAAGAAGAGTCTACCTCAAATTTTGATAAAAATACACTGAATCGATGCGTTTTCGCGTAAAAATAAAGATTTGACTAGAAAAAAGTGTCGCTCTATTTCGTGAAGTGAAATATTAATCGTTAAAGTTAACAATAACAGTGAATTTGTGTTTTTAAAACAGTGAATTTATGTTTAGGTAAATGTTATAAGAAGAATCCGTCCACCTCAGTTTCAAACACATGCGCATGTGGCCAGAGCATGAAAATGTGACAGTATATACATGCCGTATCGTAGCTATGACAGATTTCCTAACCTCAATAGTCGTCAACTTAAACGATTAATATTTCGTTTCACGGAACAGAGCGACACTTTTTCTTGTCAAATCTGTATTTTTACGCAAAACCGATTCAGTATTTTTATCAAAATTTGAGGTGGACGGACTCTTCTTAATATTTACCTAAACAAATATGCGATATATGAAATGTATACCTTTCATTATCAATTATTTACTGGATAAAAAACTGGATCCACCGTATTAAAAAATCATTGATTATTTACATTATCCGAATACTGTACCAAAATTCTATACTATTGGAAGCGGAATTGCCTATGCCGGTTATGTATCAAGCTACGTCACAATTTACATTGATTTACATTCGGCCAGCCTCGGCTATATCCGGACCGGTTCGTGTCCATCAAATATGGCCGCCAAACGCTAGCTGTAATGCTGGATTCACATTGCATCCGATTTTCATCGTACGACGCTTTGCAACCAATCAGAAAATAGGATTCCGATGATACGAAGCAAAATTTATCGGAATCCTGTTTTCTGATTGGTTGCAGAGTGTCGTACGACGAAAATCGGATGCAGTGTGAATCCAGCATATCTCATAGGCTGGTACTTATAGTCTGTTCTTATTTCAAGATCGTCTTAAGACGCTAATGCAGCTTTCTGATTGGTTCATGACATCTCAAGATTGAACTTAAGACGGTCTTAAATATAAGAACTGACTATGAATACTGGCCATAGTGCTGGCCATAGTGACTATTCCGAATAGCGCTGATTGGTTGTTTCAATGACTCATCTCTATTCCACAGTCTTTGGGTGCATTACTATAACCACTCAGTGGCTACGTTTACACCGTACGCTTAGTCCGCGACCTATACAATAGACGTCCTTGTTTATCCTGTATATTAAATAAAGACACCTATCGTATAGGTCGCGGACTAAGCGTACGGTGTAAACGTAGCCACTGAGCGTTCAGTGAACTTTTGCATTTGATTGATATATTCCGTTAGAATTAAAAATATAGACCAACAGATACAAGACATTGAGCGCTCAGTGAGCGCTTGTATCTGTTTGGTCTATATTTTTAGTTCTAACGGAATATGCCAATCAGATGCAAGAGCTCGCTGAGCGCTCAGTGAGTAGTTGTAGTACTGAATGCACCCACTGAATGCACCTTTTTTCCGCATCGTGTGATTTCACCTTTACTTCCACCATGCTCTAGCCACTCTCAGTAAAGTCAGTTTTCTCTCTGCTTTTAGCCTTGTCCTTGTTTGATTGATTTTTATTACGGTAAAACGTGTATCGTTCGTCGTCAAAATGCAGGTTCCACCAATTTTCATGGAATTGTCGTTAGATGATCAGGTAAATTGCAAAATTAAATAACATTTGGCTAATTTCCTTAGGAATTTATTTTTGTGGCATACGCACGTAATAGTTATAAAACACATCTTCGAAATGTATATGATATTTTTAGGTTATATCAAAATTAATGTATATTAGGTTAAAAATACAGTAACATAAAAAATTCTACAATTAATTAGAATACTAGTCGTAATTAAGTCTCAGAAAATTAATCAATCACAGTAGAATATGAGAAGAATAATCGACTATGACTGGTCAATTTTCTACGACTTAAGATTTTACGACCGCTACGACTTATTGTAGATTCCACATTAGAATTAATATCTCGGTTTGTGGGGTAGAATGACACTTTTTTGCTAGATTTGTTTATTTCGTGTAAAAATACATTGAGTAAGTCTAATGTTATTGATTTTTTTAGGTGCTGTAACTAAACTGTATAATTACCTTTTTAATATTATTATTCTTATTATTACTGTTTTTAGGCGCAAGAATTAAGAGTATATTTTAAAAGTCTTGGTGCAGAAATCAGCGAAGAGAAGTCTCCTAAAGGTATAGAAGATGATTTGCATAAGATTATAGGGGTATGCGAGGCATGTTTCAAAGAAGGAAACGAAAGTGAAATAGAAACTGTATTGAATGACATTGTGTCTATCATGATTCTGGCAAGTTTAATATTTTGATAATTTTTTATTATAGATAATTAAATATTAATTTTCTTTTTATTTTTACCAATGTTCTATTTTAGATACCTACGGAACGTGCTGAAAATTTAATTTTAGCATTCTGTGAGAAACTCGTAAAAGCACCTGGATATAAGCTTGGATTAGTTTGCTTAAAAGCGTAATACATTGTTAATTTTTATAAAATTCATATATATGTAACATTATTTTTTAATATAACAAATTATATTTAAATTAATTAAGAGAAAAAATAGTATTTTCAGTCACAAAGCAGATTTTAATGTTTAATAATACTAACATGCAAATTTTTGTGAATATATTTTCTCAAATTGTATATGTTTGCAGTTTGTGGCTCTTATTCCAATCTCTTGCCGATGATTCTCCAATGAGATACCATGTTTATTATCACTTGGTACAAATAGCCCGCAATGTTGATCAAGTAAAAGCTGTGTATAGTGGAATAGATCAATTAAAGCAACAATTTGTCTCCTTTCCTCCATCGAATGAACAAATGCAAAAATTATTGCGTTTGTTGCACGAAGTTCTTTTAAGCAAACAAGGGTAACATCTTATGTTTTCTCCATTTTCTTCTCTCCCTTTCTAACACATTCGTTTATTTTCTATACAATGTCGAAATAATTTCAAATATAAATTATATTCTACAAAATATTTATATAATTCTTTTTAGAGAACAAGCAGCAGCTGTTATGGTGGAATTGTTGGGAACTTATACAGCAGAGAATGCTTCCGCAGCTAGGGAAGATGCACAGCGTTGTATATTAGCTGCATTAGCAGATCCAAATACATTTTTGTTAGATCCGCTTTTGGCATTGAAACCTGTGAGATTTTTAGAAGGCGAATTGATACATGATTTACTTCTTGTATTTGTGCAAGATAAATTACCAGCGTATTTACATTTCTATCAACATCATAGAGAATTTGTAGAGCATCAACTTGGTATATATCTAGTCCATAATGTAGATAATGTAAAGCTTGAATTTATTTTAATGAAATAAAATTTTTAATGTACTTTTTTTTCTTTTATAGGATTAAATCATGAACAAAACATGAAAAAGATGAGGCTATTGACCTTTATGCAACTTGCAGAGACAAATCCAGAAATGTCTTTTGATACGATACAAGAAGAATTGCAGATTGATGAATCTGAAGTAGAAAGCTTCATAATTGATGGTAAGTTATTTTTACTCTTAAAATTTTATTTACAATAACATTTAACATCCTGTTTAAATAACATTGTTTCCATTATTGCTTATTTAAGTGGCAACTGATTTTTGACAGGATATATTAAATGAATCTGTACTGACCTAGTAAAATTATATTTTCACTGAGTTATCGAAGCGTTCAACAAATTTGTTAAGAAACAGACTTAGGAAAAAAAAAAATGCGAAATATTATAATTGTGTAATAATATTCTCACGAGATGTAAATAATATTCCAGTTTTAAAAACCAAACTTGTAAGAGCGCGCATGGATCAGGCTGGCCGTAAAGTATTAATTTCAAGCACAATGCATAGAACGTTTGGTCGTCCACAATGGATGCAACTGCGAGATTTACTTGTATCATGGAAAGCTAATCTTTCGGCCGTACAGGATGGCATGAAAACTGTAGCTGTTGCGCAAATGGAGCTTGCAGCAAAGAATAAAGCTACTCTTGCTCACTGACAATATCGAAAAATTCCATAAATATACATAATTATTATGAGAATACCACAAGATTAAAAGTTAATTTTTTTCCGGAGAATAACAAAGATTTATTGAATTTAGCTATAAAAGCAATGTAGCTAAAAATTAATATATCACAATATCACATTTGTATAACACAAAACTATTAAATAGAAAATTTTTACATAATTATAAACATATATTTACATATTTAATATAGCGACATTCGCGTTAATCATCTCGTTTTTTAGTGTAAAATTATTTCTATAAAATAAATGATTTAAATTTGTCACAATATATAAAGTATATTGAAAATTAATAAGATGATTAATTTTGCCATTTTCGCGCATTTGTGTCATTATGTATATTTAGATTAGGTACGTACACTATATGTGTGTTATGCATGTAGATATAAGAGGTCTGTCCCAAAGTATCCAACCTCTGCTTATATAATGAGAAAGAACTACTCCGAATATGGACAATGTCCGAATATGGACAATGAAGTAATCCTTTCAGCGATTCACCCATCACCGAAAGCAGTCCTGGAAGTCACTTTTTGTATGTAATAACCAACAGCTCCTCACTGCGTCACGCAATTTCAGAATTTCCAAGTAATACTCTTTGTTTATTGTGCGACTTTATGGAGCATATTCGTGATGTATAACACCTCCCTAGTCAAAGAAAACAGTGAGCATTGTCTTCACGTTGCTCCAACTCTGGCACTCTTTCTTGAGTCGAGACTCTTCTCATCGTCCATTGTCACTCATTGCTATAAACTTTACGGATTATGCCGATTATCTCGAAACATGTGTGGCCAAATTTTTGATAAAAGTTAATGCAAATTCTTTGCTCGACTCGCTCGATCATTGTGAAATGCAATGCTCGGAGTTTTCAAAGCCCACACAACTGCGTACCGTTGTCAACTGAATAGCTGTTGGGTTGTATCGCTTGGTGAGTACTCCTCAAGGTACTCCCCCCTGAATAGCGAATGTCTGTTTTCTACAGAGAGAAAGAGGATGCTCAAGGACAAAAATATACGCAAAGATACGTCGGATACTTTTGAGACAGTCCTCATGCATACATTTGTACGTGTCTTGAAACACACACACATCAAATTAACATAATATATATTTCACAATAAGTGTAAAAATTAATAGTATACTATACAACAAACTGGATGAAAAAAAATATCGGAAAATACATTTTTAATTCTATAAAATAATATTTTCACAGATGTCTCATGATGACTCTACTTGAATCAATAATGTTTGAACATGATAAAATGAACTTCATTCTTTTAGAAGCAAAATATAATCATATTACAAGAAAAATTTTATTTTTTCTTGAATAGTATCTAACCGCATTTAATTATGCAGTCGGTTAAAAATATTAATTGCAGAAAAATATCAGTTATTTGATAATAAAATACGCGACATTATAAGAAGCATTTGATCTATTTTAGATCTTAATCTCTAAAATCTGTAAAAAATTATGATTTATAATTAACTTTTCTTATTACATTGACATTTGCGCTGTTTTTCTATCATATGAATTTTATATAATCTTAAAGCATTTTTACTTAAATATAGTTGACATTACCTCTGTATTTTTCAGTAGCGTTTTAATTTTCAATAAAACGGGACAAAAAAATTAATATTGTAAAACATTCGTATGTACATGCGCATATCACACGTTGTACAAGCATCAGTAATGCCAATAGCACAATGTAGTTATTTACTACTATTATTGTGCTGCTATATGTTAAATTAATCTTTTTAAAAAATTCAATTTATTGTATACTTATTTACAACAACGTATACGTAAATAAAATGGAATAAATTATAAAGTCCTAAATTGTATGTATTATATAACTCCAAATTTTGCGTATTTAAATCAAATATAAATATTTAATGTACATTCTTTTATTCATTGACTTTTAAATCTAATCTAAGTACTATGTGCTCTTTCCGTCCTGTTTCTTGCCTTTTATCTTCTTTGCGATCGTTTCATCAATGACGTATTTCTTGTTAGGTATTTCTTATTTCTCTCTCTCCCCTTTCTCTCTCTTTCTCTCTCCCTCTCCTGAAGTCATAAATTCTTATCTCGGGCAACCAGAAAATGAAGAAACAAGCTAACAAAAAAGCGAAAAGTAAAAAGTAGTAAAATGTAAGAAACAAAAAGCAAAGAGCACATTTTAGATTAAGCTTTAGAAGGCGAAGCGAAAATCTACTTTTAAAATCTTACAGCTTTTCCTTAAGTAAGATTTATTATAATTCATTATATTCCTTGCCTCAAAATATGACACTGTTTCAACGTCACTATAGTCATTTCCCATCCTGTAAAGGCGAAACAATCATTTTCACAACATCTCTGTAAGCACCGCATTCAGTTTAGCATATAAAGTTTTATCTTATTTACATGTGTTTACATTATCTAATTAAATCTAGAATATCTAAACCTTGAGTTAAGAGGCATCTTTTCTATAAAATACGCAGGATATTCTGTACTTCTGTGTAAAACCGGCTATATTTATTCCAAGTATACATAAACCTCTTGTAATTTTTGTATAAAAGACAAATGATGGATGATAGAGACTATGATATATTTTTCTGTATCAAAAAATTAAGAAACCATGAATGAATTTCTCTTATCATACTTGATAAATCAGATCTGAGTAGAAAATCTGGGACGTGGTAAATCTCCAAATACCGTATCAGTATTGACGCTTTTAGCTAAGGCTTTCATCGAAGCTCGAATGTTGTGTGGATCGGTTGGCAACTGTAATTATAATTATATATAGATTTTTTTAGAGAGAGAGAGAGAGTAAACTTCGATCAAATATAAGCATAAAAAGACTCAGAAGTGTAATACAATATATTGCAAAAATTAAAAATCATATAAAATTATACCTGATCATCGTCTTGATCCTGTATTGTATGACGAACGATAGAAGGGAAAACAGGCACGATGACAGGTAATGATTTAGCTAACGTAGAATGACCATCCCGTTGACCTCTTGGCATATGAATCTCTTCGTTTTGGCTTGAATCTAAATATTAATTATTACACAGATTTCGACCTAAACAAAACACAAGGATATTAATGATAAATTAATACGTCATACCATCAGTATCAGATCCATCAGTGTCTTCTGAAGAGCATAGAAGCTGCTGGCTGACTGCATCTGTATCCTCCATTCCTTCAAAAGGAAACAATACTTCTGTATCGAAGCTAGCTGATTCCTTGGTACTAATATACACTGTATCCTTTTTTCTCGAATTTTCATTCTGTAAAGTTTATTACCCAGATTCAATAATAATTATTAAAATTATAATTACAAGACTTTTTCTGTAATCAAGTAATCAAGTAACGATTGAGAAAATTTTGATAAAATGACTTACATTAATGCTACTTTTAGAGTGTTTGGTAGTTGTCTCGTGTTTAATGTTTGGACTACTAGATATATTTGTATCATTGAATATTATATTAGACTTTGGAGTCACTGTACTAGCTACAGAGGTAGTCATGATACTTTTAAAACCGTCAGGAGTTGTTGGTGGAGTTTCTATATTATTGGTTACTCTGCTTGTCTCGTCACCTCTACATACTAATCTAATTATATAAAAAAAAAAAAAACAAGTTATTATTATTGTATTATTATGTAATATAGTAATATACACATATTTGTAATTAAAATTATACTTTGATAACAGCCTATGTTCATTGTGTGCTCTTTCACGAAATTGTTCCAACAATTGATGCTGCTCAGCAGTAAACGCACGTATTTTATCTTCTATAGCTATTGTTTGACGTTGTACAGCCTCCTGTAATTGTTGGTGTAATCCATCTAGGGCCACTTGAACTGTGTTAGGTAATTGTGAAACTAGATAAATAAAACGCAACATATAACACTAAGAATACATGGATACATATTATAAGATATAAATAAATTATTATAAAATCCAACAAAATTAAATACATGTTGAACACATACATACACATTGACTTACCAGAAAATTTAGGCTGTTGCAGATAATCGTCGAGATCTTCCAAACTATGATTAATTACTACCCTAAATATTGGGCTATAATCTGGATTGGATTTTAATTGATTTATTTCCTCGGGAGATAACTATAACAATATAATTATCTCTCAAACAAGTTTATTCAAAAGTTAACGAGTCCATAAAAATAAATAATATATCTCTGACATATTATTTTTGTAATTTATGTAAACAACAAATGTGTACCTGCAATTAATATCATATGCAGAAACAATCGCCTTTATCAAGGGCGATTGTTTCTGCAAAAAATCAGTTGCTTATCTTAGGCTATGTTCAGACTCCTATCTGAGTATCACCTAAGTATCACATCATTCTTGTTGTTTATCAAATGTTAAACATGGCATGATATCTAAGCCCAGTTTCACAACTCGCGGTTAATTCTTAAGGGGATGCTAAAGTTGTTCTACTTTACCATCATTTCCATTCGGTGAAATATCTCCGAATTGAATTGACGGATTGCAAAATTGTTTTTACAGAATTAAAGTACGCACAAACAGGACCTCAGCTGTATCGGATTTTATGAGAAAATCGAAGAAAAGTTTAAAAATTCGCTTACTTTTAGCTCGTACAGCTGACACCTCAGGTCTATATTTGCTTCATACAAGAGTTTTATAGTTTATATCTTGAAAATAAGCATACGGCTGAGGTCACATTATTGTAACGAACGATATTGAGTTTGTAGAACTAAGATTGAAAGTCTAGAAGAAAAGCTTTTTTACCGAATAGAAAATACGTGTATATGTGGATGCTTTGCGAAGACTGGGACTGTCAACAGAGCCGAAATTCCGTGTAGTAATAGTTGCGCGGTCTTGCGGTAGATGATGCTGGCCTAAGTTAAGATAAGGACAGATGTATGCGTTTAAGTGAGATAGAACGATATATAATATAATGTAAGAAATGAATCAAAGATGTCACTATTATCGAATTTGGAATTAAAAAAGTCTGCACTATCGACCTCGATCAAGTTCGGTAATTTGTTTCTTATTTCTTTCCAATTCTAGAATTGGAAAGAAATAATGAATAAGTTGAATCTCGGTTAAGAGTTAACCGTGAATTGTGAAACCGGGTCTTTGGGAGAATCCGGATGGGAATCCGAACACATCCTTAGATAAAGAATGATTCATAATAAATTATTTTGCATAAGTTGCACTAAAGTTAAATAGATAACAAACATTTTGGAAGGGCAACAACAAGAATATAGGAAGAGTCAGTCAAGTAAACACTGTTGCCATTTCTCTGGCCAGAGATTCTTGACTTTTTAAACAAATTTGATAAAAATGCTGACAAAAGATTTCATGCTATTTTTTCTTTTTTTTTTTAGAGAATGCATTACAAGACGATAACAATAATTTTATAGTGGCATTTAATATCGGACAAGAAAGGTGGCAACTGTGCGAGTAAAACAGATTATTTATATGGTAAACGCAAAAAAATTATTTTGATCGAGACCATTGTCTCTTGGAGTATCAATTTGATATCTCTCTTGCAATACGTTTTATCTAAAACTTACAAGAATATTGTTATTAATGAGGACTAAAGCAGCACCGTATTCTCTGTGAACTGCATGAGTATACATTGAGCAATTGCAACAACGGTGTACAATCCAGGATCCTACATTTCTTTTTTCCATTAAACCAGGTTGTTCTTTAGTAATTTTTTCCAATTCTGGTACACTCGCCAAATCCTGTCAAAAATAAAATCAATATCTGTTACGTAATTGATAATTAAATCGTTCTGTTTTAATTATAATTATATATACGCAAGTAATTGATGACAGTATGACTTTTGTACAGATATTATTTTTTACAAATGCCAAAAGAATTTAATCTGTACACAGAAACATCATGTCGATCGATGCTCACTAATTTCAGGTGAATACTAGAAAAAATATTTTATATAAAAATTAAGGAAAATATGGAATGGTACAAAAGATGGAAGATGAACCAGCTTGAACAAAATGTTGACATAATGCGATGGGATCGCAAAGTATAAGCCTAGGTTATTACCGTGCTGTAAAAAAAAACATGGAATTGATATGATCGCAATGAGTTACATGATATGTCAAACTGAAATCTATATTTATGAAAATTGAAGCATGAGAAGACACATTTTTTCACTTCTACCACACGTCTCTATGTAAGATCAAACACTACATTCAAATCAATTTTAACTTTGCAATGAAACAGGTGAGAAGCGAAAGAGGGAGGAGGGGATGAAACACAGAACACTGTTTTTTTTTTAAATTAATTATCTTTAGATCATGGACTTTTCGAAAAAGAGAGAACGAGTGAAAAAGCTTTTATTTACCTCACGAAAAAAGGCATCGGCACGCTCCAGATCGGTCAATTCGACGTTAACCTGCTGTAATTCGGCGCTCCTAGACTTGATGGACACATTCAGGCACTTGCAGGTGACGTGCATCTTTCAATTATCGACAAACGATCGGCAAGCGCGAAGTCTGGGCTTTCGGGTGACCAGAGAACGCAACGTTCCTTTCTTCCTTTTTCGGAGAGGTCGAAGATGCGCCGAGATGCGCGATCCAGCACGAACTACGCACCACTGCGTACTTGATTGCAGCCTGCAGGTGTAGTTTTGATTTGATCTCTCTCCCTCTCCCTCTCGCTCTCTCTTTCTCGCTCTCTTTCTCGATTGTCCAGTACAAAACTCTCAATTGCTCTCAATTAAATAGGTATTGTCGCCGCGAGACATCTTCTATCGACGAAGAGGAAGCATCTAGAACCGATATATAACTAAAGCTTCTCTCTGATATCGTTTGCGATCAGATGGTTGCCGATGACAGCTTAGGTTGCCGAAACAACTATCTCTCTCGACTTGGTAAACAGACTGTTCAACGTCGTCGTTCTTCCGAAAAAGACAAGCACCAAGAACGAGAAAATAAGTGGCGCAACGCACGAATTGCTGTATATTATCGTCACGCGATCATTCGTTTTGGAGTCATTTTGATCAATATATACGAATGAGTGAGCGAGAAAAGCTTGAATTTCCTATAATCTTGATTGCTTTCCAAGAGACACAATGTAACGAGTGTAACACATACATTTTTGTTTGCCCATGTTATACCGAGTTGAAATGATCACAGTGTCAAAAGTACACTGTGACTGTCTGTCGCTGGAAAACACTATTTATGTGTTAAAACAATTAGAAACAATAGACGAATGAACTGCCGAACCGAACAGTTGACAATTACAACGTTTGTTATTAAACAAAGAACTCAAGTATATCGATGAAATTCGAAGAATTCTTGCCTCAACCAGGCTCAACTAATACTTCTCCTTTCGATTACAGTTTATTACCATATTTTCATTCAATGTTTACATCCAAGAAAGCGTGAACACGCTAGTGAGTGACCTAACATCTGTGTGTGTGAATCATGTCCACCAGTCCACGTTGACCGATTCCATAAACTATCGATACACACGTAGAAATATGTGTGATTTGAATAAACGATAAGGAAGTCGAATGTGTATCTTGAAAGGAGATGAAAATTACAAAGTGAGTAAATTTTCTAGGTGTTATAATAAATAAAATTATAAATATTCCAATAAATTCGCTCACTTTTGTAATTTTCTCTTATCTCGTTACAAGAAATACAATTGATCTCAAGGCGATTGATTCACAAACTTCAGAATATTATACATATAGGCTGCGTTCTGTCATTCGAATGCGAATACTGAAAATCTATAGTCACGAACTAGAGTTTCATTATTTATAGTGAATAACAGAATGCAGCGTAGAAGTCTGTGGATTGATTCACGATATCATCTGATTCATTGGTATACGGTATCATAATTCACAATACAATATACAGGATATCTTTCTAGAGACACCATATATAAAAAAAATTGATCAATTATACTGATCGCTGGTAACGATTGATGATAACATCAATAAGTTAAAATTTAGCACTCAACGTAACTTATCCAAGTACTGGCTATCTTCAACAGCTGGTAATTGTACTTTGTACTCAACGATAATGAAAAATATGAGATATAGGAAAGTCTTCCTTCCTGAAATCGATTATTTTTATTAATCTATTGTTATTTGCTCTATAATTGAAAATATCATTAAGAGCACTTAATTACTAATAATTTAAACTAATACTGACAAACTTTTCTTCAGGTATTTTTATTTTACAGATTTCATATATATTTAACAAAGAAAGAAAACTTAAGATTAATTAAATTATAATATTGTCTAGTATTTATTCTATTGTGCTTGTGCATAAATATACAGTGATAAAGATATATATCTATATATAATATTACACACTACCAGCACCAATAAAATAGTGGTCATATTTGATGGTATTAATAACTATTAATATCACTTATGTAATATAAATATTGCAATATATATATATATATTATGCACCAATAGTCAATAAAAAATATATATATATATACACACATTACATGTACAATTGTTAGAATATATATTTGAAACAAAATATTTCAATTGGAATTAATACATTAAAAAATGTCAAATTTTATATGCCACTGTTTCATTCATCAAATTCGGTTTTCATCTTAAAAATTTCTTCCTTCCATTTAAAATATTCGTTGAAACGTATTGCAGCATATCTGAAAAAATATTTAAAAATTCACTGTAATAATTATTTGACCAAAGTATTTCATTTTTATCTTAAAACTCTGATAACTCTATTATAGAAGAAAATAATCGGTTGTCGAATTATTATTACCGTTATTTTTACTAGTGTGCATATATGTATATGCGATAGTAGTAGATATGATAGTAGACAGTTTTATATATATATATATATATATAATATGTATTTCTACTATCTTTCTACTATCGTATCAGATATATTTGATACATTATTTGTAAATATTTTTTATTGATAAATAAAAACACTTACTCTAAAAAATCAAAATCAATATGCGAATGCTCGCTCTGGATGAGAGCCCAACAGCCCCAGAAAAAATGCGGCAAGGGAGTAAATTTAGTAACTTGCCAGTATAATTTGTCAACGTCTTTTTCGGACACATTAGTCGTCGCATTGTATATTTGCAAATATTTTTTCAACCACATTTTTTGAAAATTTTCATCCGGGTATAAAGAATAATCCGGCTCGTCAAAACCTTGAATGTACCAGGTGTTTAAAATTTTATTTAATATACTTTGTAATATGCTTTGTTATTCTGTAATACACTTTATGTATGAAGGTAGTAGTTATGTTTTCTAATATACTTGTAAGACATTGAAAAATGCGTAATTACCGGCGAATTCTGTAAAGTGATTAACTATATCAAACGCCTGATAGTTGAACGCAGTGTATTCATAATCGATAAAAACGACACTCTCTTGTTTTTGATTGTACAATATATTTCCTAGTAGAAGATCATTATGAGCGAATACTACAGGACTGTTCACTTTGGAAAGGGTACTTTTCAATATCTCATATTCTTTCTCCAATATTGCATAGGATGGTATCAACATTTCAAACCTTAAAGTAGAAACTATTACAACAACTAAACCAATTATATATATAGTATATATCTTATATGACGTTCAAAGGAAGGATCTATTTATAAGCGCTTACTGTGCTTGCTTGAGAGAATCCGAAAATCTTTTGGGTATAATTTGCATAAATTTCTTCATTTTTTCCCAAATAAAAGCATCTTTTGATATAGATTCATTTTCAGACTCGAGATTATGCATTTCAGCCATACGTTTCGCAATTAATGGGTATACTTTTGGATTCCTGACTGTTTCAATAGTCAGAGTTTCACCTTCCAGGAATTCATAGGCAAACCCGTTATTAAATGTAGCATAAATGCAATGAGTATAGCCAGCCTTATTCAATATCTATGCACAAATATTTATTCTATACATTAGTTATATTGTTTACACATTAAAATTTGAATGTTATATTTTTCTGTGTATAATACTTATGCGTATATGTGTATGTTAATAAATGTAAAAAAATTAATACATATAAATTACAACAGTAAAATTAATTATAAACTGAAATATGAACAGGATGGCGGTGTGTATAATAACTGATAAAATCTTTACCCGGATATTTTTTATTTCACTTTTTCGGTCGATCAATAAATCCGAATTATTGCCATAAATTCTAACCAGGATCATATCTGTATAATGTCCCGTGTACCATACTCCTATCAACTTATTTGTTCTTCCATCAGAAAATTCCTGAAATAAAAAAAAAAGATATTCTTTTTCCTAGTTATTTCGAATTGATTTACATATCAGTAAAGATAATATTGTTATCTGAAAACTCTTTTGTTACTTATGTCAATATTTAAAATTATGTGGGTGCAAGAAAAGGCTAAAAAGTTATTTACATTAATATTTCTTATTATTTACTTATGAAAACAAAATTGATAAAACTGATTATTCCAAATATGTCTGCATTTATGAAGGAATGAATAAATCGAACATAAGGAAAATACGAATTCTGACATGCACATTCTATGACAAGAATTGAAATTGTATTACATATCAAAGTAAAAAAAGATTACCGGTAGAGAAATAAAATATAATATATTGATATAAAAAAAAGGGCACTGTAAATATAACGATTTTTTTTAAAGCAAGGGAAATAAGAGATATGCGATTTAATTTTGAATCAATTATTATTATCGTTGCTCAGCTGTTTCTATTACTTCTTATAAAAGGAGTTTATAAAAGATACCGAAAATTACCTTGAAATGCAGTTGTTGCGAAGGCCAGGATGGTCTAATCCTCTTTATAATATCTTTAGCACCAACAATAATTTCATTCTCATCTATTGTAATGTTGAGATGTTCCTCACATACACTCATAGCTTAATGCTATTTTATGGAATGATGAAAATTTTTTACTTAATTATTATTTTAATAATAGAGTGCAGATAACATGAACATAATTTAAAGACTCAAGAAATATATATTCTATTTATAACTATTATGAATAAATTAAATATATTATAATACAACGTGGATCTATTGGCTATAATTTCATTATGAATGAACAAAATATTTAGACTATGTTTCAAAATTCACTGCCAACGCTGAAAATCTACAGTCTACGTTACATGTACTATAAATTTTCAGCACTGACAGTGAATTTTGGAACACAGCCTAAATTAAAAAAATTTGTATGTATGTACGTATATAAAAACAAAAATGTAAAAACACAACATTCAGTCTTTACGAATGTTTCATAGCAACTAAGAGATCTGGAACAAGTATGTTTATCTATATAAGCTTATATACTGATATAAGCTTATATACTTATATAAGCGATAATATACTAATATTACTGATAAGCGAGGGTAGCATTATAGTCAATTAAAGAGAATGACGAAATTCAAACGAGTGCATATCGAATATCTCAGTTTAAGGAGAGCACTCTCCATCAAAGATCGCAGTTTATTTACGCACGTAAAAATTTTACGTACTAGATTGCTTTGTTAAATTGTTTTCGAAAATTCTCTGAGGTGTAAATACATAAATTTTTAAATCATGTGCCAACTAAGGTTAATAATTAAGAGATGATCATTCCACGTAATCGTCATCAATTATATACAATTGGTATCTGGATGATATAAATATGCACACATATCAATATGTATCATATCACAAAATGACGTCTCGTTGTTTCTGATTCCAGTGAAACTCGTCATATGTGACTGACTGGCTGTGTGACGTAAAGTGCATAATGCATACGATGGCTGCGTTCAGCAGACTCAACAGTTTTGCAACCGTTTTATGATTGTCTGCTGAGATAGGACCATTCTTTTAGATCTAAAAGTATGATCCAATTAGCGCTAAGGAAACTTCCAACAGTTGCAAAACAAACGTTCTGCTGAACGCAGCCGATGTATCGTTACATCCTTGTTTGTTCAGGCGACGATTCCGTTCGTCTACACATACCGATATTTTCGATTGCACATACTACTCACATCAGTAGCGAGATTCTCTAATGGCGCGGTTCCATGGTGTGGAACGTATACGCAATGCGGAATTGGCGGAACGATGTCCGTCCAATCGCAAACATTCCGTCAATTGCGCTCCGCCGATATGGCTTTTCTAAACCAATCACGAGCGTTCCGTCAATTCCTCATTGCGCCAATTCCGCATCATGGACCGCACCATTAGGGCGCGTTCACATCTTGACGGAAAAACAGAAACTGGAAAAGCAGCAGCCAATCAGAACTCGCGCTGGTACAATTTCGACTTTTTGTACTACTTACTACCAGCGCGAGTTGTGATTGGCCACTGCTTTTCTGCTTTCCGTCAAGGTGTGAACGCACCCTAAGGGTGAAATCACACGGTGCGGAAAAATTATTCAGAATAGCGCTGATTGGTTGCTTTAATGACGCATTCTCTATTCCGCAGTCTTTTTCCGCACCGTGTGATTTCACCCTAAACGTCTTATCGATGATTGTCGCTATTGTTAACTAGTGAAAGCCAATAATGGTACAATCAGAGAGAAGCCTGAGAGCGGCCATGCCCGAGATTTAGCTGCAACTTTATTTTGAAGCGCCTCTATGTTCACAAAATGTACATTGAACTACGTAGCCAATATCCACGATCTCGTCCATGATTTTTTTATTATATCTTCGCTATGTCCACGATTTTCGGTCCGTTAGATAAATAAAGACGAACAATCAATCTGTCGGCACTTGTTGAACAAACGATTGTTCGTCTTTGTCTATCTAACGGACCGAAAATCATGGATATAGCGAAGAATACAATCAAAAAATAATGGACATTACCAACAGGATTGTGGACCTTACCGACGGGATCGTGGACATTGGCTACGTAGTTCAATGTCCACGTTTTGTTGACATAAAGGCGCTTTAAAATAAGGTTGCAGATAAATCCCGAACATGGCCGCTCTCAGGCTTCTCTCTGCTATTAGAGGTATTAGGGCTTTCTGTCATTCTATCCTTGTTTTACATTAATAAACAATGAAGAATGACAAAATAGCGCTAATAGCGTCTCTCCGAATGCACCATATGCCGATAACCGATTGTGCGTGAGGTTAGGCGGTTAGACGCAGTTAGGTGGGTTAAACAAGCCATGTGCTATTCCATGTGAGTTTAATGCTTGCTTGATACTGGCATTTTTGCAAAATGACACAAGTTGCGCAGGAAGATAACGAATTAAAGAGATTGCTCAATAATCCAGCCAAGAATGCGAGCGAAGATGGATCCATGGCACCACCGTTGTCGGTAGGTTATTAAATGTTAGACTGTGTTTTCTAAAAATAATGTAAACTTCATTTGTAGACTAACGTGCCGAGACCGAGCACATCGCAAAGTGCCAACCCCCAATCGATGATGATTCCGATAACACCAGTTAATAGCACGAAAGAAGTTCCAGAGCCTTGTTTACAGTAGGTCTTGAGTCACATAATTGTTTGCGTTGTGTATAAATATCTACTTACTGTTGTACTATTATGCTGATTCTACAATGAGTCGGTAGTTGATAGTCCTAAGTCTTATTGGTGATGTTGACCAATAGCCAACTTGTACGACTAATATACGACTAATATAAGGACCACTTTCACCAACTCAGATTAGCTTAATCGGCCTTAATCGGCCGATTAAGACCCAATTCCACAACTCACAGTTAACTCTTAACCGAGGTTCAACTTATTCATTGTCTCTTTCTAATTCTAGAATTCGAAAGAGATTAGAAACAAATTGAACCTCGGTTAAGAGTTAACTGTGAGTTGTGAAACTGGGTCTTAATCGGCCGATTAAGGCCAATTAAGCTAATCTGAGTTGGTGAAAATGGACCTAAGTTAATCAGAGTTGGTAAAAGTGGCCCTAAGTGCTGATTGGTTAACTTCATCAATTAAGGGTCTCTTTTACCAACTTCTGGTTAAATTAATCGACGATTAACTCGTAGAAGTACTAACAGTAGTTTAATGTATCAGAACGTTTCTTTCTTTCTCTTCTGTACTTAGTTCTTACATTGGCAATCATGGTGATTGAATTAACCATCCATTAGCATTAATCAGGGTTGATGAAAGAGGCCGTAAGACTAATGCTTAGTTCAGACTGGACGTAGCAAGCATCAAGCAGCAGAGCAGTAACCAATTAGTAAGGTGATATTTACAGTGGCATAAAAAATATCGTCTTGCTGATTGGTTGCTGCTCTGCTGTTGAAGCTTGCTGTCCAGTCTGAACTAGGCATAAAAGTGCATTCAGATGCAAGCATCAAGGGTCAAGCAGCGAAAGCAGCAACCAATCAGCAATGCGATATGGATATTGGCGTAAAAAATATTTTTTACATCACTGTCTGTATCGCCTCGCTGATTGGTTGCTGCTTCCACTGCTTGACGCTTGATGCTTGGCATTTGAATGCACCTTTATGATTGGTTTATAATAGGTCGTAATCTGTTAACTTTTTCTGTAATCTATAAGAATTGACCAATCATCATCGATTATTCTCCTCTCATTCGGTTGTGATTGGCCAATTCTTACAGATTACGGAAAAAGTTAACAGATTACATCCTATTATAAACCAACCCTAAGACTTTCGACTACCAAATCGTTATAGAATCAGCATTATAGATGTATATAGAGTGTAATATCTTTCATTAGTGTCTACATTATTTTTACAGAAATGTAGTCTCTACAGTTAACTTGCAAACAGAATTGAAACTTACGTACATTAATGTAAGAACTAGGAATTCTGAATACAACCCAGCTAGATTTACTGGATTGATAATGAGGATACAGAATCCTAGAGCGACAGCGCTGATCTTCCGCTCTGGTAAAATAGTATGTACTGGCGCGAGAAGCGAGCAAGATTCGTTTTTAGCAGCAAAGAAATTTGCCAGAATAATTCAGAAACTTGGATTCTCTGTAAGTAACGTTTCTCACACGCCTAGAGATCTCGAGAATTTTTACTTAATGTACAGTGCTTTTATATTTTTTCTAGGTTAAATTTTCCAATTTTAAAATACAAAATATAGTTGCAACGTGTGATTTGAAATTCCCAATTAAGTTAGAGAATCTAAATCAAAATCACGGTCAGTTTTCTAGTTACGAGCCAGAGCTATATCCTGGTCTGACATACAGAATATTAACACCTAGAGTTGTATTATTAATATTTGTAAATGGCAAAGTTGTGTTAACAGGTATGTTTCAATGCTGTAAAATGTAAAATTTTTGCAGATATTACAGCAAGAAAACGGCTAAATAATTATTAAATGTATTTATTTGATAACTTTTAGGAGCAAAAAATAGGACTGAACTACAAGATGCATTAAATTTTATATATCCGACATTAAAGATGTATAGAAAGCAGTAATATTACTTATTTACAAAATAAATGTCAAATAAAATGACAAGACATGTAAATTGTTTCTCTATTTATGATAACCGATTTTAGAATTCTACAAAATGAGGAAAGCTTGTATTCTTATATCTCTTTATAATGCATAATTGCAGTATTATTAATATTTTGTGTTAATTTTATGATTTTATATTGATATATACTATGTGTAATTTATCATTATGATTGTATTAAAGACCTTAACTATTTTATATATTTCTATTTTATATATTTCTTACCTTAACTATTTTATATATTTCTTTGTATCTTTAATCATACACACACACGCACACGCACACACATAAAATAAAAAAATAATTTACAAGACATTGTATCTTAATAATAATTCGTACAATTAAATGGTTAAAAACAACATACACTTCTATTTATTGTTAAAGTATATATTTCAGACGTTTTGCATAATGAAAATAAATATTTTTTGATATACTATATATTAAAATAAAATATAATTGACAAACAATTATATTCGTAGTGTATACAATTTATATAATATTTTACTATATCAGAATTATTATAAATATACATATATCGATAAATATACATACATCTATGATAGATTTCTCTTTAACTTTATGAAAAATTGGAATATCTGGATCTGGATATGTAAAGTTTGGAATGTTCAATCGCTTTTGAAAATACAAAAAGTGTTTTCTAAATATTGCAAAATACAGAATTCTGCAAATTTTACGAAACACTCATATACATTTTTGTAAATTGAAAGAATATTAACATGTTTAAACATTATTTTATAAACGCAACTGTTATAGACACTTTATAATATTAGAACGTACATGTATATAAGTATATGTATCTGGCGAGAGCTATGAAAAGAAGATACTTTAATATACCCGCTGATAAACAGCCGTGGTTCATTTAAGAACTTTGTCCGTGCATCATCAGATTTGGAAACGTTATTCATTTACAACGTTTCTCAATACTTGACGCTTTAACGCTGCGTAAATGCGTGTGTTTTATTTGTTATTATTATTATTATTATTAGGCGGAGGCCTAATTATACATCTATTAGTATTTGAATCTAAAGTCCTTTCCTCGATCGATTTAAACTTTAATCAATGAAGTTTATATTATATATATACTCTCATGTTCGTGTTCCAATTTTCTCTCAAGTTCGTTTCTGCGGTCTTTAATCGATTACGTGTATACCTTTCTTTGCAGCTATGGGCAATTTTTCCCCTTGAAAGAACGGGTTTTCTTCCTGAAACAGGATTAATACTTTTAATTTAATTATTTTATACTATTTAATTTTATTTATAAGTTCCAGTGTCCTTTTTCTTTGAAAAAAAGGATCAAATATAAATTAATTCTTGTAATTTTGATTGTTCAAAAATTGTATAAAACATACATATTTTATACGATGACTGTATATTTTAATTACCTGAAACTGTTCGATAATTTGATTGAGATCGGAATTCGAAATATGCATGTTCGACAAACTGTTACTGTTTCCAGAATCGTTGGAGCATTCTAACATATGTTCTGTGTCGCACATACAGTCCTGAGCGCTTTGATAGTCGCGGCTAAACGCTGCCGTGTTTTCGAAATTGGTGAGACAATTATTTTCACCTGTAAAAGTAGGAATAAATTTTAATAAATCATACGTCGAATATATAAAATTATTGTTTTTCGAATTAAAAAAGATATTTGATGATTAAAAATAATTATACTCTTCACATGTTTTCACCGCAAGTAGGATTGTTATAAATAATATAATTTATAATATTAAAAACGTTTTTAATATAAATATTTGTATTTATTTGAAAACTCAAGATTCCCTTAAGCAAGGAAATATTATTTCAACTTATAACAATTATTAATTAAAATATTTAAATAAGTAATAGAATGCATCATGTATCAATGGCCGAACATTCGGTCGAACACTGGGCTAATTGTCCCAGTGTCCTACCACAATTAGAAAATTAGTATGCTAATGGGAAATATTAATAGATGTTTAATGACAAAAGACAACTAATTCAAATTGATCTTTAAAGTGAAAAGCATTTGAGACTAATATTAATTTAAATAAATAAAGTTTTGTGTAACTGTCCGGTCCCAGTGACTGAACATGTACCTATGTCCGGACATTTACACAACACTTTATTTATTTAAGTTAATATTAGTCTCAAATAATCTTTTTAAAACGTAATATTATAATTTAATTGTAATCTTTAAATGCAATTAAATTATAGTACTCTGCAATAAAAAAAGCATTTGAAATTAATATTAATAAATTTTGTGTAAGTGTCCAGACATTATAGGTACATGTCCGATCACTGGGACATTTACCTTAGGACTCCTACAGACGAGCGACTTTGTCAACGATCGAGCGACTTATCACAATCGAAAGCACTGTTCATACGAAGCTATTCGATGGCGCTACAGAAAAGTGTCGTGAATATATTCATATGGGCCACTTCGTGGCGCGACAAGAAGCATTGCGGATACGTTCAAATGGGCAACGCTTCTTGTCGCGTCACAAAATAGCTCATATGAACATATTCGCGACACTTTTCTGTAATGCCACCGAATAGCTCCATATGAACGGGTCAACGCTTTCGATTGTGACGCTGCAAAGTCGCTCGTCTGTAGGAGCTCTTAAAGGCAACGGAAAAAATACTTGAGCAAATCCGAAGTATAGAATAAGATAGATTATATAATTGAAAGAAATGTTTTTTGTGGCGACTCTATTATTTCTTAATTGGATTATATTGTAGGGGCCGGCGGAAAAATTAACGGAGTCTATCGAGATTTTTGAACCCTCGTTTACGAATCTAGCACTCAGGCCCAGTTCCACAACTCACGGTTAATTCTTAATCGAGGTTCAACTTATTCATTGTCTCTTTCCAATTTTAAAATTGGAAAGAGATGAGAAACAAGTTGAACCTCGATTAAGAGTTAACCGTGAGTTGTGGAACTGGGTCTCAGTTCCACAACTCAATGGCTACGTTTACACCGTGCGCTTAGTCCGCGACCTATACGATAGGTGTCTTTGTTTAATATACAGGATAAACAAGGACGTCTATTGTATAAGCCGCGGCCTAAATGCACGGTGTAAACGTAGCCAGTGTGCTACGCCAACGACACTCCACTGTTGCTCATAATTATTCCGGTCGTTTATATATTTTAAATGGCCTTATACGGTTCTCTTTATTTTCCTACAATATTGTTGAATTCTATTTACTCACTCGTGTATCCAACTGGACAAGGATTCGGAGGAGTACAGTAAGCCGGTAAAGGATTTTCCGCCTTCTCGTCCTTGACTCCTTTCAGACTAAATTGAATCCTATGTCTATTATAGCCCTTGTCGTTATTATTTTTATTATTGTCGAACCGTTGGTGGCCCCAGAGCGTACTATGCTGCAAATACTCCTGATCTCGTATACTTGGATTCGGGTTCAAAGTGTCCATGCTGTCGTAATCGGCCGGCAATTCCATTGGCAATTCCTTGGCTTTCTCCTCCTGATATTCCAAGTACGAATCAGGCGCACTCACAAATTCGTTTCCTACTTGATCGATCAATTCTTGCAGAAAGTTATCGGTCCATAAATCCTCCTCCTGGATACATCCAAATAGTGAATTACATGCTCTTTTGACATCCTGCAAAAAATGGATGAATTAAAAAGAATAAATAGGAATTTATTTTGCGATGTTACGTATCTTCGAAATCAACAATTGTCTTTGAAATTGCTCAATTCTTTCCTACACATTTATCTTTTTTCATTCGTATTTCTTTGTTTCAATTCCTATGAGAAAAATAATACATTATAAATCGAGAAAAAAATCAGTTGCATTTTCTCCTAATTCGGCATTAAAATACATACATAAGTTGACATGATGTTTGTGATATCTATATACTAGGATTTGAAGGAGAAAAAGTGAATTTTCAGAAACTTTTAAATCAATTCCTGATTTCGAAGATTAAATATTCCATTTCGCAAAAAGAAATTCCTCTCGATTCATTTCAATTCATCTACTTTTTACACCTGTAGAGCTGCTGATTTTCATAATTACCTTCATTAAAGGCAAGTAAATATTCGATCGTGCAGCAACAGCGATCAAAAGGAGCAGAATGCAGTAGAGCATGATAATCAATGCGTGCATCTGCGGAATAGCACAAAAGGTTCTTTTTTTTACAATTTGTCATTTATCTTATCACTACAACATCCCAATAAGTAAAATTAGCAGTCTATTAGCAATTTGCTTATAGTTATAGATATATACAAGCGAAATAGTGCAGCAAATTGACATCAGCTACGTCCATATTAAGCTCGTATTCTGCCAACAGAATCTGCCGACATAATTTTATTGCAAATTGGCTTTAGAAACCAAACAGAATTTGTCATTTCGTAATTATTATTTAAATAATATGTTCTGTGTTTAAATAATGACAAATTTTATTCAATTTTTGCTGATAAATTCTTATTTTGCTGGCAGATTTCTGTTGACACTCTGCTGACAAAATTTTTTTAATAAAAAACAAATACTTAGCAACATCTATTTTTGATAAATTTGTCTTTGAGATACCGAACAAATTTGATAATCTTCTAACAAATTTATTAACATCTTATATAAAGAAAGAATTATTGATACATCAATCATTACAGCTATATTGCTTTAATTATTGTTATATACTGTAAGAATAATTGAAACAATATAGCTCTTCTTTTCACGACAATTAAACAAATTCTCATAAAAATTTTTGATAATTTAGATTTTCTTAGAGCATTTGCGAATCGTTTAATTATGTCTTAAAAAGCGGCGGAATATTTCAATTTTCGGCGAGTGTAACGTGTAACTCACCATAATCAGCGACAAATGGTACGGAGAAAACCGACGACGTAGACCGGATATCCTCGAGAAGGTTCGAGGTATCACGCACCAGTTTTTCGCTGCACACACTTTTCCTCTCCTCGTTGTCGTCATCGACGGCCGCGATAGTCGTCGCCGTCGCAACGAGCGCTGTTCGCGGTCTCAGCGAGTACCAGAGTATTGATTTACCTTTTTCCATTATTTCACCCTTTATGATCCTGTCCCGACAACGTGCCCACCATCCTCGCCGTTCAACCCACATTCGTAAAATCGAGCCACTATTAAAGGTCATTCGACGAAGCTGCCGTGACCAATATGCGATTGATATACATATATAGTTGAGAATAGGGGAATCTTTTCGATAAATAGATACATGTAGAAGACTGATGAATAAGACTTTCGATGTTTTCAACTGTACTGAAACGCGTATTGTATTAAATCTTTATACTTAAAAAAATAAGTCAGAAAAAATTGAACATAATAGTTTCATTGTTTCATATTAAGTTAAATACCTTTATTAATCAATTAATCAACAATTACATATATACGCTCAACAATATTATATATAATACAATCTCTTTAAAATCTGTAATTATTCCACAATATTTAAATTGACGTTTAATAATTAAACTAAATTTAAAAAATAAATTTAAGAGGTATAAAGATCATTCAATTAATGTGCTAATTGCATTGACTGTATATTCTTTCATCACTTTCTCTTATTAACAGATATTATTCGATATTATAGTATTGTTTGAATTTGCACTCACTTTAAAAATGCATTTAATCTCACGGCGTATACAATGATCTTCGTAATTTTTCTTAACACAGAATTATCCAATTACTTTAGATAACTGTATATCGGTTATTTGCTTATCTAAATTGCATTCATAAGCAACGGTTGCCTGCAAATGTGATTTGTGTGCAGGACACGTCGTTTGGATAACGATATTAAAGTCAGCTCGTATATCTCAAAGTCCTGTCGAGAGGCTATAAAGTATCTAAAGTACGAGGTCGTTTTGTTTCGTGAACATGAAGCTCGAGAGTTAACATCACAAAAATGTAATTTCTTTTTGCTATGACGCCCTCCAAGAAATGAATAATTTTATTTCTCTGACTACATTGCACGTTTTCACATATACACACATATTAATCATTACAGTATTATTACGCAAAGTAAAAAATATTTTCTTAATGTGTATTCTCAATCAGCAGATAATGTATTTAAAATGTTTTTTAAATATTTATTTAACATAAAAATATTTACACAATATTTTTAAAATATTGTGTGCTGATTGGGTTGTTATATTAAAATGTATTTAAAAAAAATAATAAAATTGGAAATGTATAAATAATAAAGTTTACAAAAAATTATTTGTAGAGTTTTTACATTTTAGAACTACTTCTTTTTCTTACAATCTCTCGTTTTGTGACGTAAAAGTAATCCGCGTGTGCATAAAATCGACAGAAATAAAAAATTCCAGATTTGATAAAAGCTTGATGAAGTAGCATAGTGGTGGTTGTTTGTCAAGCCGGCACTTTCATTAAGCGTACCAGTTACAGGAGGGTTAAAATAGAAAGTGTAGTGGCGTAGGGATGAAAGATCAAAAGATTCTTCCCCCTTGTTATGATCGTATATAAATCGTCCATTAGTTGTTGTCGTGCATTGCGTTTCAGCAACTCAATTTACAGAATCAAATTTTCGTTTCGCCTTCATCTCACCACGCTAAGATTGATTATGATTTGTCATATTAATAATTAAATCTCATAAGATTTTTAAATTGTTTCTTGTAATACTACTTTAGATATTTTAATATAATATTACTATTCTTTATAATATGTAATTAGCTATAAAATAATATCTTATTTGAAACGTGAGAAGATATACAGAAAGTCAATTATTTTATCTATTTATATTGATAGAAAATTTAAAAAAATGGAAACTTCAAATAATTTTTAAAAACACTTTTCTCATCCTCTATTATATATTTATTTAATAACTAAAAGCCAAATCCTTTTCAATTGTCCTGAAAAAAATTTTGGCATTTCAATTTTTTCGTTATTGTAAAAAGGTTTTTTTCAAGTTTATAATTTATATGTAATATAATATTATTTAGAAATAGTGAGCAAATATATCGCAACAATTTATTCGATGTGTCCCAAGGGAAGGAGTATCAGAACATTCTTGAAGCTCGTAGTGATTTTCCAGCGCAGCATCCATCCGTCTTGTCTTATAATTCCCCGTTCGAATAAAAGTCCTCGTGTCTTAGTCGGCTTTCGATGCCAAAGATTCCTTTGCGCATAAACTGAATTACATTCACATTAAACAGCATTCGTCATAAACCAGAGAATGTCCCGATATCCATCGTCAGACAAGTTGAATCTATTTCTTTTTATGTATGATATTAACGCTCTTCTATACATTATGAAATTGATAATGTAATTGGAAGTATAATTATCTCTGCTGAAAAAAATCATGTCATAACGTTACATGTTTGATGAAATCATGTAATTAAAACATGTAAATCACGTAACGGATTGTTCCAAAACAGTACGTGATTTTTTAAAATGATGTACGTAATTTGAAAAATTACATGATATTACAAATAATTTCATCCTATGATATTATAGTTATCGAATTTTAAAGAATTGAATGATAGAAATAGAAGAAAAAAGAACATATTTATTATTATGTGACTTTTCAAAATATGTAATTTTTTAAACTCACGTACTGATTTGGAACAATCCGTTATGTGATTTACATTTTAATTATTATACATGATTTCATCATGTAACTGTATGACGCGATTTTTTTCAGTAGGGATGTCAAACGACCAAACATGTTTATCGTTGGCACGATATTTTATGCTTACGATCGATCAATAATGGGGAGCCTGTTATTCCTATATCCGTTACGCTTTTTTATATTCTTTCGATATATAGAGATATTACACGATGTTTAAATTTTCAGATATATATATTAATTCCGATATTGCATTATTTACCATGGGATAAAAATGTTGCTTGCAATAACCGCGATAGTAAATTGATGCAATTTTACATATCTTGAGTGAGAATAGCATCACATGAATTTGTTACTGTTATATTCACACTGATTTTTAAAATTAACGCAATTAATAACATCAAAGTGATAGCTGAACAAGATATATGAGATGAACCATAATTGCTGCTTTAAGAAATGAACTTAGAAAAATTACAATCGTAAAAAATATTTTACAAATATTTATTACGTCGTTAACGGAGTCGTATGTTTAATTAAGCTCATATAAAGATGTATTTTTTAACGACTGGTTGTTTATAAATACATAAATTGTGAGTCGTATTAAGAATATAGACAAAAATACTATTTTTATATAAATAAATGAAATGTAAAAATAAGATAGATACGTAAATATTATATTAATAATTAAATATTGTATTAATAATTAAGTGCTGTTAATAAAATTTGATATACCAATCTTGCCGAACAAAAGAGATAAATATTCCGGGATATATCTGAGAGATTTCTCTGTCGGCGCGGACGGTAGAGCCTAGAGGCGGTATGCTGCGTGCGTAGTCAGCGTGGAGCTGTTACGCTCAGTGTCTCGGCGCGGCGTCACAAGTATTGATCTTGGTAGAGAGCCACTACGTGAATGGGTTATGGCTGTCTCGTACTATTCCGCAGATTTTCGTACAATTCTCTCTTCGTCACACACGCTCACCATCACTCCTCGTGATCTCGATTTCCCTCTTAGCCGAAAGCTTTTTGTATTTCGCTGCTCTCGTCACGGCACGATATCCATCCCCGCGTGTTACGTTGCTACGGTATCACGCATGACGCAGACACTGTACTTATATTTGTCGTACATATATATTACAGATATTTGTTTCAGCTTGCGTGTAAAAGTACAAATAACTCTTTTTTATTTTACGTGAAGCAAAGTAGTACCAAAGAGTAATACAGGCGCGTTTTGATGAAGAATACGATTTTGCTCTCATCTGAAAAGATAATATTTTTCTTCTTGTCAAAAAAATGTGTTCGCGCAACAAGATATAAAATTAACTTTATAATTATTACGAAAAGGAAAAGAGATTTTGTAACTTATTCTTATAGGGAATAGAGATTTTCTATTTCTTAATGTAAATTGAGGAAAAATTTCAACTTTCCAATGTCTTTATTTTCAAAATTAGATTTTCTAATTATTTTAGAGAGTTATAGTTTATTTATAATATTTCAATTAAGCAATAAATTAACTTGATGCATTTTTACATAATTTTTTTCTTGCTTTTTACGCATCTGTCTAAAGGTATTACATTTATCATTTTTAATATAATGCATATCCAACGAGTCCTACATTTTGGCGTCGCAATGGCAATGGAGATAATAAAGTTAAATAGTTTAAATGAAAATAGTACATAATAAATTATTCTCGTATAATATTGCATCGCCAATGTAATGTCAGTATAATTGCGCATTTATAAGCGTATCTACAAGCCAGCATCATTATATGGTATTAATAAATACGAAATACCTTGCTATTATACAAGAAAGAATATTAGTCATATTTTCATGGCTGTAAAGCCGTGAATATAGGAAATACAATTAACTGATATAATCTTTAATTGTATCCATCTTCAAGAAGAAAAGTAATATTGACTGTGCATTTCTAGGTTGTATGCGTTATTAAATATCATTAAATATTCGGAATATTTATTCGAAGAAAGATGTATAGATTATTTGATACGTGCATAAAATTATTATATACTTAAATATATTTGTATTTTTCTCTATTTTTTCTTTTTCTCTTTTTTCGTAATTAATTTTATCATGACAAAGAATCAATTGTATACGTTTAGGAATGAGCAGGCATTACCGGTAATAAAAGACATATGTTATACATTTCTTTTTATTTCCTAAATTATTTTATTTAATATTCACTAAATGGTACAGCAAAATATAAAGTGCAATTTTATTTGTATGTAAAATTTTAAAAGAATGATTTTTTGCTACATACAAGTAATACGATTTATCATTTAAAAAAATATAGTTGGCTTCTCTCTTCATCCAACGTTCAATTTATATTTTAGATAAAACCATGTGATTGTGCGAGCCAAGATATAGTATTTGATTTAAATAAATATGGTCCCTATTTCGACAAGATTCGAGCACTTTTTGTGCCTAGTCTGGAATATAGATTTCAGTCCTTGTTAAAGGAGTTCGTGTACAACACAAATTCTCGATGGGCTAAGCAGTTTCCATGTTTCAAGAAATTCATCGATATGATAATTATGTGGAAGGATCCTTTGAACAAAATCGCTGAATACGATATCAGCACGATGGAAGAAATTATGAAAAATACCATCAAACGCATGATAAAGGATGATCTGATCACTTGTTTTCTGGATTCTGTCATTTTGTATCATAGATTGAAAAAAGTTTGCCGGGAGTTAGATACATTGGGCATCGAAGATAATATTTTAAAAAACTTTAATTTGTGGAATTTTGTCAACGAGCAAGACTATTTAGATCGCAATTACTTCATGTATGTTATATGTATATGAAAAGAAATATTTTATCACTAAAAATTTAAAATGGAATATTTCAAGTATCGACGACTGAATGAAATTGATCAAATTAACATGTCTTAACTTTAATAAAAGATCATTCCTTCATTAATGTTTATTGAAAATGCTTTACTTATCAATTATCGTAAAATTACACCAAATTTTATTTACTAGGAATTTCAATACTACTATTTCAATGGACTGTAACATGAATTTAAATACGGTACCTTGCAATACAAAACGATCAATCAAGTGTAAAAAAACTGTCAAATCATTAGCAAAAAACATTTATGACAGAAGTACCGAACACATACAACAAACGACATCAAAATATCGAAAACATCAGATACTTGATTTAAATCAAAATTTTCTCCATCAAAAAGAAGATAATTCCTATTATTATTCTACTTGCGTTGCAACTGGATCTAGGCAAAATGATTATAGCACTGATAAAATAAATAAATCTTTTAATGAGAAATCGTGCAATACCGAATCAAAGAAGATACGGAATGATTTGAAATTGAAGATAATTATTCATAAAGTACAAATAGAAGATCATGAATATTCGACGTTCTCTAGCGCTAATGTCACTCGCTTATCTTTGCCTTGCAAACCGAGCAATCTAATTAGACGAATTTTTGAAGCTGATCCATCTTTAACCGAATCTTGCTTGATAGTGATGAAGCGAAAGTTCGAAGATAGCATGCATAATGTTTGCTCGTGTCTCAATAGTGTTATAGAAAAATTAAATATCGAACTGACAAAAACGCTATGTCTTAATTGCGAAATATATTCTGGATATATCAGTTTCAAGTTAAAAGCCCCCAATATCAAAAAACACTTTTTCGTTACGAGAGTACCGATTTGTCAGAATGTCCACAAATGTATGGTTCAAGAAGATTTCTCTATTTTGTCCTCAAAGTCAAGTACTGAAATTAACGAATTAAAATGTTTTTCGCAATGTAAAGATAATGGTACGAATTTCAATGATGCACATGTCGATGCACACGAAAAAGCTGAAAAGCTCGACACGTGCTATTCACAATCGGATGAAGCAGATCGAAGCTTTATAAAAAATATAGTACAAAATAAAACAGAAAATAATAATGAGAATAGTTCGAGATATGTTGAAAATCTTGTAAACTTCTCTTGTAATGATCCTTGCAAAGATAATGTGGAAGAAATATATAATATGACGTCATGCGTTGATAATTCTGTTGAAAGAAATCGAGAAGACTGCGCAATTTTGAATTCAATGGATATCAATTATGACGATGATGTAAAAAAGTGTGGAAAAAATATTCTTGAATCGAGTAATTTAATTATAAGGAATGATATGTCCACGCAATTAGTAAATAATGCAAATTGCACATGTTTATCATACGAAAACTTTACAGAAACAAACAATGAAATTGAAGACATTTTTAGTAACAAAGATTTGGACAGTTTCTCGCAGACCACAGGCACCAACGAATGCGATTGTTTGTCGAATAACAACTCAAATTTAGAAAACGAAATTTGTAACAATATTAATGAATGCGGTATTACATCATTTCTAAAAAATTGTGAATATGATAATGCAAATTGTACATGTATATCATACGAAAATTTTATCGAAACAAACAGTGAAATTGAATATACTTTTACTAAAATAAAGACAAACAAAGATTTGGACAATTTTTCGCAAACCTCCAACGAATACGATTGTTTGTCGAACAAAAAATCGAATTTGGAAAATGAAATTTGTACAAATACTAATAGATGTAGTATTACATCATTCATACAAAATTCAGAATATGATAAACAATTAGTAGAATTAAACTATAATTGTTTCTCGAACAATATCAATAAAATCGATAAACACTTCGATACGCGAGAAAATGATAGCTTATTAAATTCTGCAAAAGTAGAAATTGGAAGTAACTCATGTTGTTCTTGTCGATGCGATGATTTCATAGATATCACAGTCACTGATAATATTTTAAGAAAAAATAATTGTGCTTTTGAAACATCTCAAAATAATTTTGATGCAGTAACAGCTCGAAGTACGGACTATTCCAAAACAGTGCAGGTATCATCCAGAAGCAACAATTTGCTAACAATTTCGATTCCAATTCAAATGCCTAAATCAAAGATATTATCGAAAGAAATCAATATAGATACGTGTTATCCACGAACAGTTTGGTTGACATGTGAAAATGATAAAAATATCAAGGAAACAAGCGATGGATGCAATGAAATAGCAAATCTTTCTACGCATACTTTAATTGTTTCCAAGAAAAGAAATCAAATTTTTCCTGATATAAATAAGGAAATGTTAGATGTAAAAGATGGAACACAAGATTTTGTTACATCGCCGGAAAGATTTTCCATGTCGAAAGGAAGATTCCGATCCAATGGAGATTCAAGAAGTTCTGTCTCAACAAGAGAATATCTACGTTCGAAAAATCACTCGATATCCAATGCATCGCTATATTGTCGTTCGTTCGTAACGACAAGTGAATTTGCGATGAGCGACAGGCAAGATAAATTCCAAAAATCAATGCTTCGCGGACGCAGATTAGCGAACGGTATTCATAACGACAACATATCGACAATAATTAAACACAGAACAGCATCTCGTAGACATCCAAATAATTATTCTGAGGAAATACGACCGCAAATGATACTCGCGATAACAAAGTTTCGCAATTCCATCGACAAATCTATCAATAGAATAAAGCGTTTGATTCGTGAAAAGCTGAGAAAAATATTGTTTAACAATAAAATAAGTAATAATAATAATAAAATGACTAAAACTTTTTGGAAAACAGAAGAATCTTTTGAAGATACTAGAAAGAAAGAGACAAGTGACAAATGTGTAAGACAGATTATACTTCTAAATAAAATATTTTATTTATGTATAAAATTAAAATTTGATTCTTTTTATGATTGAGTTTAATGTTTGAGTTCAATATTTTCTAATTGTTTCTGGCTTTGAAAATTAAAAATCTATAGCTATAATTTTCAAAATGAGCTTTTCTTCAATTTATTATCTATTTTTTTATAGGGTTACAGCATAACTTCATGCTCAACTTATGATTGCTGCAAGCGAAGTTATACCACATCTTCTTGTGAATCTTCAAATGTGATTTTATCAATTAGTAGGACAAAGGAAAAAAAAAGATGTAAAGAAAACATAAAGTTTTGCGACCACAGATTGGAAAATGATGACAATAAGATCTTATTAAGCTTCCGTTCGATTAAACCTTCTCTGTGGTCTTACGATTTGTTACCTTCTACAACTGAAAACATAGAAAAGCAAAAATTAAACAGAAATAATCGAATACGATACGATAAAAAGAAAAAAATTGGAAACGTTATGAACTACGTCAGAAACTCTCATCGATACGACTTGGAAAATTCGGAAACAAGTATAACAATTTCTTCGCAATCGACCAAAGCGTTTCTTACGGAGAGTGATTCGAAATATTTTGGACATACCACATATAAACAGCAAGAAAAGACATACGATAATAAGCGAATCTATAAGCAAATGCATAATCAAGATCATTGTGAAAATGAACAGATGCGGTACGAATATGAACAATGCAGGACCAGAAACAAATATCGAGATGTACCAATTAAATATTCTAACGTTAATAGCAATGAATCTTTTAAAACATCATTATCACATTCCTGGAGGAAAAATGCTAGAAATACACATAAACAACTTTACGATATATCGGAATTAAACAAAGCAAAGAGATTTACATGTTCATGTTCAAGAAAGAATAAACAAATATTTGAGAAAGATATGTCCGATCGTTCCAATGATAGTTTACGATCTAACGCTAATCTACGCAGGAGACATGCCTTCGCGATTTTAACCGATGCCTGCAATGATTATATGGATGACCTTGATTTAGACTTCAAGTTGAAATTGTTGCGATATGTAGAATTATGCAAAAGCATTAAACGTTCGTTGATAAGGACATTACAACCGGACGACACTTATGAAATTAGTACGCTATCAATTTCTGGTAGGTGATTTGTGAAAAAGTTTGATATATTATGATGTTGTTTTATATCGATATTGCGAAACGGTATGTTGATAGCTCTTTAATCATAATAATAACATCCTTAAACTTATTGAAATTTTCTTTGTTTAATGTTGTCTTCTATAAATTTATTTTTATAAAAATTAAAAATTATGATAGCACTTCAGATACTAAATGTATTAGATATATTAATGTATACGCTAAAACAAAAGTATTGTGTAACGATTACAAAATACAAAAAACTCTAATGTCACTATATGACAAATTCGTTTTATATGTATCTTAAACTTGTATCTTAAACATGGCAATAATGGCGAGAGACATATTGCTCAATATTTTAAATAAAAATTTTGTATTGTGATTTTATAAATTTTAGAAAGAATTAAAATTAATTGAGATCAGGCTATATTAAAAACGTCTCTCCCTCTCTCTCTCTCTCTCTCTCTGTCAATTCAAAGGTTGTAAAGAGAAATCAACGTGAAAATCAACGTTCTTACCTCGTGAAAAAATTTAGAAAATTTTTACTTGTAAAATCACCACAAACGATAAGCTTGCCGACAAATCTATTCCCTTTTATGGATTAAGTACTCTCACAGACGTCTGTTGGTATGTCAGAATGATAGTGAAATCCAAGTTATTTAGAGCGTCTGATTTCGAAGAGAAGATAAAGTATACTCCAACCATTGAGAACAGCAGCATCCATTCCTCTGGGCAGATCGATATTTCCTGGCAACCACCGGAAAGGGTCTCTACCCTCGATTGCTCTGTTTGTAACAACGCAAGTTGGCTACCGAATCTGAAGGAAGAATTTTCGATATATTTATTTCTTAATCGTTAACATATTATCATAAAAAATTTAATTAAAAGTAACTGAAATATTAGATATAACGGAACGTATCTCAATGTCTGTTTATGCTGACAAAATTTCGAGTTTTCGTCATTTATCTCAATTAGTTATAGTTATGATATGATTATCAACTTTAACAAAGAAATTGTATTGCTATTTTAAACTTTTAAGTTTTATTTGCAACTTTAGTTAACACAATGAATTAAATAGATAAGGAATATGTCGCAAAAACTCCAATTTTATTATATATAATTGTAATATTTAATTGGTAAGAAAATATCTTTTTCTTCAACTGTTGTAATTAAAAAATTTAACAATAAAGTTAAGTCTACACTAGCTAAAGAAATTAAAATTAAAATCATAAATTTTCGGAATGTTCGTTTTAATAGAATTAAATTTAAAAAAAATCATCTTTACACATAATATATATATTTCCTAAACTTTAAAAAATTATAAACATGTATTTTGAGCTTTTAAAATAAACGACAAAATTTATTAATATCTAATAAAACTATCGCAATTATATAAGAATTTATCCTTTTACATATTAAAAAATCTATTGAGAAATTAATCGCAACTAATCATTTTACTCAAATACTTGCCCTTTAAGAGACCGATTCCCTAAATAACATAACGGAATCTCAGCATACCGATAATACGTATGTTAATATATATCGTCCAGTTAATCAACCTTAACGCCGTTACGATCATTTCTTTTCTGTGCGTGCCGTTTTGTATTGCAAAACTTTCGGCCGGGGTGCATAGGAAGCTCCGCCTGGGGTCGATCTAAAGGGGGTTGTAACCGCTGATGATTGGCTAGTGATATCGATGCGTCGTTCCTGATGAACCAATCGCATCGCTGCATCGAGACGCGCTGACGCCGTGGCCAGAAGTCAACTTCGTTGCCGCCGCCGCCGCCGCCGTCGACGACGACGACGACGACGACGTCAGGCGACGTCGACGACGTTCTCCGTCGCGTACCCCGCGCTACCGTTACCCACTCCGCTCGTAACTGTATCTGGACTTAATTATTGGTGAGTCCCAAATTTTCTTTATTGTTTCCGGTTCGCCATTTGATATTATTTTATTTAAATATGAAAAATCGCGAATTATGGTACCATTTTGCTCGCAAGTGAAATCGGAGACAATCCTTTCGTGCATCTCTGTGCCTTTGGGAACCAAATTTGGGATTCTTTACTAAAATGGTGATGAGATCGTTGATATACTAGTGGTGATATACTAGTGAAAGAGAGATGATTGTGAGAAATTTCAGTATTAGTGAAGTTGTGTGATATAATATTATTCGTTTAATTTCAAAACAAAGATTAACATCTTTTAATTTAGCTTTTATTAGCGGATTTCTAATTTGGACAGGAATTGAGGAAAATAGATTCTATGAGATTTGAGATTAAATAAAATCAAAAAGAAGAAATCGTTCATTTTCAATGAGATAATCAAGAAATTTTTTCAATACGTTTATTTCTGCTGAAAATCTATGACTGCAGATAAACGGGAAAATTTTTCGTTTATAAAATTTTTAAAGTAATTCGAATATCCAAAAATTATCTGACTTTCTTTTGTGCTCTTTTTTGTGAATTATTAGAGCGAGTCTAGAGAAGCATTCCAATAATGCTGATTGCTATCTGTAAATATGCGAAATCTGCAACACGATTGGCCTAACCGTGGGTATTAAAGCTTTTGATGCTTTCTATACTATAATGAATTCATTTAGGCTTGATTTGTACGAATGCCCAAGGCTGTGAGATGTTGTCGACGCTTGTTTGCCCCATTCTTACGTCGATTAGCTGTAAATTGAATTTCTGTTTTAATTAAAATTCTCTTTGAATATATCACGATGGGTTCTTATCCTGTTCACGCCCTTTATTATTTATTCATGACAATGAATATATCTTTATTTCGTTCTTTCTTTCTTAATTTCTATATAATATCATTCATATTTTATTACTTTATTATTTCCTTCATAGAAAAATTCTTCTTTAGAAAAAGAAACATAATATCACAGAAAATATTAATTGTAATGTTAATCGTGAATATATTTCTGCTGTCATTCATACATCTTGGTCCAGTCGTTCTTGTCTTTAAAGAAATTATATACTTATTAATTCTTTTTCCTTTTACACAAACAATGTGTTTGTTAAATTTTAAGTTTCTAAAATATGTGTCATTAATATACGTCGGAAAATATACAAGGCGCGAAGTCACGACGTAGAGACTACAAAAGTGCCGAATGTCGCTCAATGTCCATTAAGTTGAGTCAGCATGTCCCATATACTCATCATTCCACCCTAATTCGTTAACACGTACTGTACATTTTGGTGCCTTTTGTCTGTCACGTGCCATTTTAATATCCGAGAGCCATTGTCCTCTGATGTGCCTCTTTACGATCAGCGCAGCACCCCATAACGATTTTTGCAGGCAGCTACACACTCCATCATGCAATGACGACGATTACAATTTGTGACGAGACTTACAATCGCACAATGAAAGTACAGAGCAATACAAGCTCCAAAAGAATATTTAACTTTTAATATAAAGCAATAAGAAAATCTTTAATATGAAGAAAATATATTAAAATGCTAACCATAAAAATGAAAGTAAAATATACATGATGTATGTAATCCAATTTATAATATATTATTTGTCTGCACATTATGAAAGAGATATGAAAATTATTTTTAATACTTATATAGTTATACATTTGAAATTTATACATAAAAATTTCAAATATCATTTTGTATTATCTTATTTAATTTTACAGCAATTAAATCGCTAAAATCCACATACTTTCTTTCAATATGCTGTGTCTTAATTAAGGGTAAATTTGTAAAGATTTTACGATTTTAACTAAAATGTGTCTCCGACAAACTTTAAGTGAAAAATATGATCTCAGTGTACGGTCCGTGAAACGTTTCTTCTCACAGTTTTCTACCCTCCGGAGATGCTCCCTCGAGAGATTAGGGATTAGGGGTAGAGAGACTGCCACTCCAAATAAACACTCCTACTCGGATTCCCCCTGTACCGTTCTGTAGAAATACTCTATATAGGTATAGCAGATCTTTCTGAAAAAAGCTGTAGGTAGCCGAGATATAGCAGCAACGCGACAATTATCTGTAAGGATATTAAAAACGTTGAATTACTTAAAATATTTAATATCGATTTTGGAAAAATCTTCAAAAATTAATGTTTGTTTTTATAGCATCTAAATTATTTTTACAATTGTAATTTTAACATATTTTATTTATAATGTAACGTATGAACGTATTATGCGTATAGCATGTATTTTTGATTTTTTATAAAATAACTTATATTTGTTACTACAGGGGCTGCCATATAACATCACGATCGTACAAAATTACGAAGCAACCCCAATAATTGGAAAATGTCCGGATTCGCAGCGGCGGGTCTCGTAGCTTTTGACTCTCTCAAGACGAAAGCATCACAGAAATTATCCGGGTAATATACTACACACATTTATAACATATTTCATTAATATATTTATAGAACATGTTAGTATGTAAATATATTTATGTGTATACATATATATATAATATTTCTTTTTGCGTTTGTTTGTTTATATCATTATATATGTTAACCCAGATAGCAAAGCGTGTCTCAGCAAAATCGCACAATTAAATCTGTGATTGCTTATGGTGTTGGCAATCTATACTTGCCGTATAGATTTCTCTTCAACGATTTCGAATATACCGACATTGTAGCAACATGCAGACAATATGTATATGTATTGCCAGCAGTTTAACAACAAGATAGCTGCGGCAATGTTATCTTGTATTATCGGCAATATGACAGCATTGATGCTGCATATTATTATGGCAATATGATGGCAATAGTATGAATTTTGATAATGACAATTTTAAAGTTGTCAGCAAATTGTTGGCAAGTTGCTACTCAATGTTATCATATCGCGAAGGCATCAAGTTGCCAACAAATGAGGACTAAATTGTTGCATTTCTGACAGCAACACATGCTTAGCAATACATACTTAGCAAGCAACATGCCAGTAACAAGACGGACACGTTGCTATATCTGGGTTATGATTTCAATTAAAGAAAGAGATTATTTCAAAAAAATGATACAGATGATTAAAAATTTACTATTTGAATGTGAAAAGATAATTTATTAAGAAGACACCAACTCTACAGATTCAGAAGAAGTGCCGGCGGTTATGAGGAGTTTGAAACTACATGCGAGGGTAGCAAAGACAACAAGGGATTCGAGGATGAAAGAGGATACAGCGCGCAGCCTTCGTTCGAGTCGCTTCCAGAGCCAGAGAGACCACCATTGCGACATATCGATACTTACTGCATGCCAGAATGTCCATGTCTTTCAAAGAGGTATACCATCGCAACGCTAGCTTGTGTAGGTAAGAATGAATAATAAATTAGAAGACTATTTTGTTTTCCCAACTTTATATATGTTGCTTGCTATTCTGTTTTATATCCCATATTACTATAAAAGTTTATCTGTTAGTTAATAAACTAAGAATTAAAGAAATAAAACATGGATAGTCTTTCACAATGATTTTGTGAAATAGAAGAAAATATTATATGTATATATATATATATATATTCATAAATAAAAAAGTAAAATTTTCTTTTCATTGTTCTAATTAATCATATTTTTAGGATTCATTATTTCGTTTGGCATGAGATGTAACATGGGTATGGCCAAGCTTGTCATGAAAAATACTACGGAAGGCGAAAATAATACTATCAAATTCAACTGGACGATCGGCATGGAAAGCGCCCTTGATTCATCATTTTTCTGGGGTTATTTAGTAACGCAAGTGCCCGGTGGCTTTCTCGCATCGTTATATCCTGCTAACAGAATATTTGGCACAGCCATCGCAATATCTGCTTTTTTGAATTTGTTGGTACCTGGAGCACTGAAAGTAGATCCTATCGTTGACATGGGTGTGCAAGTATTGAAAGGACTGGTCGAGGTAAGTAAAAAGTTGAAAAATTTAACAAAACTAAAGGATACAGTTAGAATATGCTACGTATATATATAATACATAAATGTAAAAATATTTCATAAAGAGTAAAGTTTATTAAAAAGTCATATAGATTTTCATCTCTATAATATTTGCAATATATTCTATTATAATATCTGATATATTTTGTTACAATTGTAACCAGTTTTTATTTATTTTTTCTTTTTTTTAGGGTGTCACGTACCCAGCGTGTCATGGTATTTGGAAATACTGGGCACCACCTCTAGAGAGATCGCGTTTGGCCACATTAGCGTTTTGTGGATCGTACGCCGCAATGGTGATAGGTATGCCGCTTTCTGGATACTTGAGTTTCTGGTTTGGCTGGACGGCGTCGTTTTATTTCTACGGTAAAGAGATTTCTTGTGTCTCAATGGCAAGCATACGTAGAAAAAGAAATATTTTATGTGCTGTTTTAACAAATTTCTATATGAACAGAAAGCTTTATTAAGAATAATAATTTTATTTATTTATAACATACAAATTGTTTTGCTATAACACAACTAAATTTCGTTTGTTGCAACAGCAAAAACAATTTGCTAGAAATATTCAAATAGACTATTTTAGTTTAGAAACAAACACATTTTTTCTACGAACAAATTTGCTTAGAAATTTACTTATATTTGTTTTACTTTGTCAACAAAAAAAATTACATTCTAACAATTATAACGGCCATTTAATTGCTTTTACACTGAATATATATTAGCAACGACAGTAAAATTTTTACTCCGTGTAACAACAAAACAAAATATTGCGTTGGTAGATGTAATTTTTAGCAAAATAAATTGTAGGCATATGCGGATTGATTTGGTATGGTTTCTGGTTGTGGTTGACCTTCGAAAAGCCGTCGAAACATCCCAGTATCTCGGCTCGTGAATTACGTTACATCGAAGATTCGCTCGGACAAGGACAAACGCAAGCACCTGTGCCCACGCTGGCGACGACTCCCTGGCGCAAGTTTCTTACCTCAATGCCGGTATATGCCATCATTGTCGCTAATTTTTGCAGATCGTGGAACTTTTATCTGCTGGTACTCTTCCAACCGCGTTTCATGCACGAGTCTTTTGGCATGCCTCTTGTCGAGGTAAATATATAATTATAGTATTTAATATAATATAATTTCTCGATAAAACCATAATGAGGAAAGAGCTTTATTTAAAATGTCACTGATTTATTATATAAAAATTAGATATAATACTTATTTTACAATCGAAATGTATGAAATACGTTTTATTCTTAAATATTTTGGTAGACCGGAGTCATTGGTTCGCTTCCACACTTACTTATGACGATGATTGTACCTTGCGGTGGTTTGCTGGCGGATTATCTCCGTAAACGTGGCATCATGACAACGACAAATGTCAGGAAGATTTTCAACTGTGGTGGTTTCGGTATGGAAGCACTCTTTTTCTTAGTGGTGGCTCATGCAACGACGTCCAAAAACGGAACTGCAGCTACGGTCGCTCTCGCGATCGGCGTCGCGTGCAGCGGTTTTGCTATCTCTGGTTTTAATGTCAATCATCTAGATATCGCTCCAAGATACGCCAGTATCTTAATGGGCATGTCCAACGGGATTGGCACCATCGCTGGTCTATTAGTTCCTTTCTTCGTGGATAACATCACGGAGAAGAAGGTACGACGAAGAATATACTTTTTCAAGCATCTTTCAGAATTTAATATGTACAAATAAAGATTAGAATATACATTTGTGCAGGACCCACATAGCTGGCGGAACGTTTTTATCATAGCTGCATGTGTTCATATTTTCGGAGTGACGTTCTATGCTATTTTCTGCTCCGGTGAGTTGCAACCCTGGGCTGATCCCACTTTAGAAGAACAAAAGAGCTGGAATCCCATGGATGAATTCAGCCAGACAAAACCGCCCGTTCCACCTCCACCGAAAACTATGCAATCCGAATTCATAGTGAGTATGCTCAAATTATTAGTAATTACTATATTTACAACGAATATCATACAGATTCGTTTAAATCATCGCTATCACTTGATCTTTAAATAAAATCAAAATTGTTACACATACTTGCAAATTATACTTGTATATTTTTTGATGCATTATGACGATTATGAAATGTGATGCAAAATGATCTACTTAATATGCTCTACTTGAGATTTGAAAATTTATTCTTTCAAAATAAATATATTTATTACTTTTTGCAATAAAAATAATAAGATTTGAAAAATAACTATTTCTTCTAGAAGCAACCGTCCCGAGACGGAAGCGTCACTGACGATTGGAATACTTATGAGCAGTCACCGGCTGAAAATCATCTGTACGCACGACAAGATAGTAAGGCTCCTGCGATAAACTACGGCTCGACAGAAACCAACAGCGGCAATCCATTTTACTCAACGAATCCATTCGCTAGCGACGTTAACGCGTCTTTCGTGCAACCACCGGCAACGGACGACTACACGTATGACGTGCACAATCAACAATGGAACTGAGAATGCTCGATCACCGGATAGAATAATTGGATACGAGAAAAGCAGACTGTTTCTCCGAGGTTGTAGATCATTCGTATCGTTAGTTATCTGTCAATCCTACATCCTCCTCAGACATGCTGCATCTTTATTAAAACTTGCGGAATTAAGGCCAGTAAAGAGATCAAATTTCATAGTTACACAAATAAGTTTGTTTCCCTTGAAAAAATATAAAGTCATGAGAATTATTCATTCTTTTCTTTAAAAAAAATTAATCTTTTGCTCTTAATCTTATTGAACGATAAAAATTAAAAATCATTTTGTTATATAAACGTCATAAATTTATGTCATTTGGTATAAAAATTATAAAATATTATATATTGAATGTGTAGCTTAATAAATTATAAATCATTTTATAGAATTATTTACCATTATAATTTGATTGTAGCATGTCTGAAGACCACATGTATAAAAAATAAGATTTCAGATAACAGCTATGATTTTGAATTTTACAAATCAAAATACAAATTTACAGATCAAATACACTTCTAAGTTTTACGTCTTCGATAAATATCAGAAAGAGAAAAAAGGAATCTTTTTGTTGAGCGTATAAATATCTAAAAGTGCAGAGAATGGCGCTGTGAATATCCACGCGAATAACTCGAAATGATACGGAATCTAAAAATCAAACTTATTATGTTGTTAACTTAGCGAGATTGATTGACAATTAAATGTATCGCTATGATATTTACTTCGTTAAAGACATATTTATGATACTGTTTATAACGGCGTGTGATAAACAATTGGAAGTGTGTACACGTGCACTCCGTTATTTAAAATTGACAATAAGTCACTAGCTGCAAAAGATAAATTTCTGGTTCAAAAAATTCAGCCGGAAAAACTTTCTATATTATTTTTTATTTATATACACATACTTTTACTCTTGGAAGTAAAAGAGAAACAACTAATTGAGCAAGAAACTTGAAAATGTATTTTATGTAATATACATTTAGCCGCGTTTAAATTTATATTTTAACATTTAGAGAATGTGAAGCGTATTGTTAAGACAAGCTTTACATTGCAATGCGATAATCGACTGTTTTAACTCTTTCTGTGAGATATCACAAAAAGAATGTTTCTTTAATTTATAGAAAAATTAAGATATTAATAATTCTTAAGAGATTCTTCAATTTTATAAAATTTTGAAATCTTTTTATTAAATTATATATCATATTCGCGTGCAATATTGGCAATATTGATTTCTTTTATAAAAAAAAAAGAGTATTAAACGCAAGATGCCGCTTATCAATGATGAGGTATGTCCAGTAAAGCGACAATAATTCAAACCTTCGCGAGACAATAATTCTCTTTGTGGACAATAATTAACGGCGAGGTTTGAAAATATACCAAAATCGTATGAGATTTTAGTGCACGCGACACATATAGCTCAATCGCTGAAACTTTTAGGTATTTCCAATTGTCCGTGAGTGACGTGTTTAGTTATTTACGCGAAATAATAGAAATATAGCAATAAAGGAGAAAAGTTCCGCGAATCAATATAGCGAATAACGTAAATCGCTTGTCGAAATGAAGTTAAACAAAAAGATATTCGACATCTTTTACGCACACTCAGATACAGTACAATTTGATCTACCATTACGACGATATCTAAATTGAAACATCTACTTTTCTAAATATACTTTGACTTTGTGATATAGTATATCTAGGTATATTATTATAATTTGCGAATTGGATAAAACTTAAAGAAAATTTACAAAAATCAAATGTGGTAACATTAACGAAAATTTAGAAATCTGGACGATTATTTGAATATCAAAGAAATATACCTACAAATTTTCGTAAGATATCTATGTCATGTAGATATCGCATGTAAAATTTATAAATATAAAAACCGCAGAGACAGAAAAGAAAGATAAAATGCAGCTATTAAGTTTTCATTAATATCCATTAAAAGCAAGCGTGAATTATTTAAAAAATGATAAAAAGACAATTTATAAATAAATGCGTCCGAATCAAGTCGAATTCTTTAAATAGAATTTTTTTCGTAAATTTTCTTAATATTCAAGATAAATCCAAAAACGTTCGCGTAACGACTTAATATGAAACGTATGAAAGTATTCGTAAGAAAGTTGATAACAACATGAAAGTATCATAATAAAGTATGATAGATATTAAGTAGACAAATCATGAAAGTGAATAACAAAAATGAAAGTAAGATTGTTAATTAGAAAAAAAAACAGTATATGTATATTATACATTGTCTAGATGTATTTCGTATATATACGTATATTATATATATATACATATATATGCAATCTATATGTATATATTATATATATTATACAAACACACATCTTTTATTGTATACATATAAGTATATATGTACGTTCTTCATGATTGCGCATGTGCGCAGTTGAAGATAAAAGAGTACACATACAAGAAAACAATAAAAAGTATGTGACATGTGACGCCGGATTTTGCGAGCAAGTAGTACTGAAAATATTAGGCTCGTCAAGCGGTTAATTTCGATTAATTTCATTTTTTGTATCTGATTATAAAAAAAGAGTATATTCAATACATGTACTTGATGCACGAAACGATATTCTTGGTGAAAGATTGAAATTATTCTTTTAGAAAAATGTACGAGAATAAATATACTTGAGAAATAAATTGTTAAATTTAAATAGATTAAGAAAAGAGGTTATTTGCAATTGCAAAATTTATTTGAATTTTTACGCAGAAACATGTGTGTTTGCCAAATCGAGTCCTATCGAGCACTTCATATGCATGGACAGATATATCTTTAATCTTCGCAAACAAATACGAATCATTTTTTAATATTTACAATATAAAAGTGAACAAAACCGAAATTAACCGATTTGATTTTGTTCAGTAATAAATCTAATCTGATATGCATATTCGCATATAGATAAGATATATATAATATTTAGCTAATGACAACGTCGTGATACAAGTACGCCGTTAAACGCCCTGTGCGTGTGTGGATCAACAAATCGAATAATCTAGACTATAACTCCGTTATAGCCAAGGAAGATCCACAAAATTAGTCAATTTATGCGAGACCTTTTTAAAAATACGATATACCATTATAATCCATATATGTGTCGACATATATATATATATATAATATCGGCAAATATTGTCTTGCATTCTTCGTCGATAAATAAGATTATATATTACATATGTCATGTATTATTTGCTATTATATTCTACGATGATATAAATATAAATATACATATATATGTACATATACATACATATATGTATGTACATATATGTATCAATTGGGCATGGCTGCATATTAAATGCGTTAATGATAATAATACATGTGTGATGATCGATATATTTGAGAATGATTGGTGCAATTTATTTGTTAAAAATATTAAGGTGTAAAGACATGCTTTTTAAAGTATTGATTTTATTGGACGCTTTAGTGTACGACAATAATTCTTAAATGAAAGCTTGAAGCACATGTTATAATCGAGCACCAAATTTAGAGTTTAATTATTTATATTTGCTAGTTGGGTGATTTTATTTATTATTTATGAATATATGGGGTGTTTGAGAATTAACACATCTGGTGAACGAGTTTGATCTTTTAATATTGTATAAAGCAAATTTACTTTTTTATAACATGTTTATATATGTAATTATTAATCTGTATAATCAAAATAGAATTATGATAAATAATAAAATACTGATAACTTTTGAGATATGGACCACCAAAAGAAAAGGAAATGGTCTTCTTAAGAGATACAAACTTGTAACAAATTTTAAAGTAAATTCTTGTTTTAATCAATTTTTTATACATATAATCATATGCCTCTTTTTCCAATAAATACTATAGACTTACAGCAATACAGCAAAATTTTAGAAGTAAAAATTTCCAAATAAACTTCTGATTGGAAAGCAACTTTAAGTTAATTCTTGTCTAACAAAGTTTTAATATAGAAAGAGGTCATATTAAGCTCTGATGGGGAGTATCGTCCCGTTTACCATGCATGCGACTATTACCAAACACCCCGTACGCAACGGTAGTAATCACACTTCGTAACATTAGTGACAATACAGGACAGGCTAATAACCAGTCATGATTAGAACGCTCGTATTAATGATGACATGAAATAACGATGCCGCAACGCACATTTTTTCGCGTGGTGCATCGACCGCGAGCTCTGTGCTTTAAAAAAGACACACGATGATAGAAAGTCGGAAACACTTGCAACACTTGAAATTAATGGTATGCACGCGATAACTGTCATCTAACTGTTGTGTGTCGTCTGCGTCACTGCCACGCTGAGAGAAACAATTTGTTGTCAGACTAATGTTGGGAAAAGAGCGGATCTCATGGGCAGCAATAACAATTTACTTGAAAATAAAAAAAAAGTGAGATACTTTCTCTCAGCGTGAACGAAATAATATTGTTATTTTTTTGTAGAAGATATATAACAAAAAGATATAAGAAACAAAAGAGACGTAAACGTTAATTCACAATTATAATCGAAAAAGGATTTTATTCCAATTATTTTGTGAAAGAATTTTTATTTATGCTGTTTAAAAATACTTATCGTATTTAAATTTATTGAGATATTTAAATCATTTAATTATTTTATTCTTTTTAGACACTTGCATTTTCTAATTTTTTGCTTTTCCTCTTTCTATCACCTATCTTATATATAATATATTAGTGCTATTATATTTATTTCTCTTTCTTATCTTTTTAAATTTATCTTTTTACTTTTAAATTTTATACCTATACGCGTGCGCGCGCTTTAGTCATGACAAATATTACATGAAAAACAACATTACGTTAAGGATATATGTATAAATATATTCATCATTGTGTATCGCAGTAGTGACAGGCCTAACATTATTCACACGACTTTATTCGCTAAACCAGAAAAAATTTCTGGACTCGAGATATCTATATAAATTATATAATTATTACGAAAAATCTAACAATAAGATAAGTTCTAATGCTGTTCGAACAATAATATTGATACTAATATTTACATATACGTATAGCTCCAGTAATAACTTATGACAATAAATAACGGAAACGGGGTGAGCCGATGCTAAGAATAGAT